GGCGGTATTGTTGATGACGAGATCTTTGATAACGTATCTGCAGACGCTAATGTACCTATTTATGACGAATTGGATAGTCCCATTCTACAAGATGAAATAAAGAATGTTTTAACTAACGCCAAGCTGGGCAAATCACCTGGTAACGATAACATGTTGAATGAATTTTTCGTTAAATTTTAAGAAGTTTTTATTCCAGTTCTTTCAAAATTATTCAATGCTATTCTCGATAAAGGGGAATTCCCATCAAGTTGGTCGAAAGGTATAATTTTTCCATTATTCAAAAAAGGCGACCCCAACGATACGAACAATTATAGAGGAATAACGTTGGTTAGTTGCTTGTCCAAATTATTTACAAGTGTTTTAAACAATAGATTACTAAAATGGTCGGAGCAATTTGATATTATCACTGATGCCCAATTCGGCTTTAAACCTGGTCATGGCACCAACGACGCCATATTTGTCTTGTATGGAATAATAAAAAAAGTGCTTGCTAAAAGACGCAAGCTCTACTGCAGTTTTGTTGACTATCGCAAGGCGTTTGATAGTGTGAATAGAAATAAGTTGTTTTTGAAGCTGTGTAAAAGTGGTATAAGAGGTAAATTTTTGAATATTTTGAAGTCCCTTTATGAAGGGTTAAGGTCATGTGTTAGATACAAATCTGAACTATCTGATTTTTTTGCATGCACGCAAGGCTTGATGCAGGGTGAGGGGTTATCTCCCTTCCTTTACTCTTTGTATGTAAACGATTTGGAGAATGAATTTATTAATACATCATGTGATGCACTTTTTCTAAGAGATATTTCTCTGTTTTTGTTGATGTATGCTGATGATACTGTTCTTTTCTCAGAGTCAGCTTCTGGGTTACAGAAGATGTTAGATACTTTGAAACTATATAGTGATAAATGGCAATTATCTGTCAACATAGAGAAAACAAAAATCGTTGTATTCCGAAATGGTGGTAGAGTTAGTTCAAATGACAAATTCTATTTTGAAAATAATGTAATAGAAATTGTTGATAGTTTTAATTATCTTGGTGTCACGCTATACTTTAATGGTAAGTTTACTAAAACTCAACTTAATATAGCTGAACAAGGACGTAAATGTATGTATAAGATTTTGAAAATATGCAATAACTTAGCTTTAAATGTTGAATCAAAACTTAATGTGTTTGATGTCTACGTATCGCCTGTCCTTAATTACAGCTGTGAAGTGTGGGGTTTTAGCTTGGCTGATCAGATAGAAAAATTACACATTGACTTTTTAAAAAGAATCTTGTATGTTAAAAAGAATACCCCTACGTTTATGTTATACTCTGAACTTGGTCGTTTACCTCTGCAAATTACCTGGAAACTAAGAATAATTAAATATTGGTTAAAATTAACCAAGACTAATAATTGTATTCTAAAGTCATTGTATGACGACATGATTGTTTGTAATCATAATAGCTGTAACTGGCGGTGCCAAGTTAAAAACTTACTAATGTCTACAGGTTTTGGTGATGTTTGGTTAAATCAAAATGTTGTTAACGAAAAAGTATTTTTACATAATTTCAAACAACGTCTCACTGACAACTTTCTTCAATCAATGAACGAGTTTGTGGAAAACTCTTCTAAATGTTATCTGTACAAATTCTTGCTTGACTCGTTTACCTTACAATATTATTTAACAAAATCAATTCCTGTCGTTTATCTTAGGCTTATTTCCAAGTTTCGAATGTCATCCCATCGTTTACGCATAGAAGAAGGCAGATATTGTAATACCCCAAGGGCCCATAGAATTTGTCTACATTGTAACCAAAATCAAATAGAAGATGAATTTCATTTCATTTTAATTTGTCCTCTATACGCAACTTTACGTAAAAAAATTATCAAAAAATATTATTGGAACCGTCCGTCGTCCTATAAACTTGTACAGTTGCTAGCAGTTCGTAATAGGAAAGAACTTTGTCATTTAGGTAAATATTTACAATCAAGTTTACTATTACGCTCGACATAATGTGCATTGTTTAATTATCATGTGCATGCTTTTTCTTTTTATCTCCAGATAAAAACTGATTACTTCTTACTTCATTTGATTGAGATTCTTCCAATCTTTCAATCATGTACATTACTTCAATTAATCATCTCATTAATATTTTTCTTTTGTCATTTGTATTCTCATGTGCGTACAACTGTCCGCCATCTATCAAATCAGCTTGTCTTGTACAATGTAGGTTATGTTACATATTATTCAATATTTGTGTAATGTTTTCGACACCCTTATTGTACATGTACACATAAATTACTCTGTATTATGCTGTAATGCTAATGGGCCGTAAGGCTGAAAGTGAATAAACAATACAATACAATGATGATACATGTGACTAAGCTAGCTGACTGGTATGTTTTATAGACAGGGGTGCTGAGATGGAAGGGGGTATGTTAATTACCTCGGTGGTCCTTGTCCGCAGTCCAGTTAGGTCCTATACTAACACTGTCGCATAGACGTAGCATGATTATATTGTGCAGAGTCGACCATCACTGACACGTCACGACCAATCAGATTCTATAATTTTCATTAGATGTATGATAACGATCTCTATCACACACATTTAAAAAAGGGCATCTATACTGGTACCTTCAATTACACTACACAAGATAATATCCCGAGGGCAACCAATCATTAAATAACTGGAGTGTGGAACTTCGAATATGAACGTATTTACTTCTAACATCCTAATTGACTAAGTTGACAAGTTATCAATGGCATTGTAATATTCAGTTGTTGTTTAAAGTTTTTAAACACGTGGCTAATAATTTATTATGTCTTTAGCTTTATATATTTCCGTTTACATTACTCCCAGTTACCATTCGTTAGCAAAATGTGAACGGATACTTATTACAAACTCATAGTTGGAATGTACAATGAAAGAATAATAACACCGCACAGACAGACAGCTGGACGGAAGGACATACAGACATGACAAGACATTATCAACAGCAGTTTAAATGATGTTAAAACGAAACAGTTTTGTGTTTGTTAGATCCCGTAATAAATTCTCCTGATTTCGTTAATGATTTCAACGTGTTTACATTCACCAGTTACATCACTTTAAAAGGCAGATGTCTTATACCAGTAAATGTCCGAAAGAGTTTCCGCCTTTTTATCTAAGTTGACAGATGAGTACAAATGAAATTCAGTGCATTACACCTAAGGCAACATCTATAGCACTTATCACTTATCACTATTCCTATACCTTCCAGTTCCTATAGCTTGGTGACATGCTAAAAGTTTGGATATGGACTTTGTTAAATAAAATTGTAAAGTAACGCTATCGACAATAAGTTTGTTTAATGTCACTTTTACCGAAATGTGCAGCAAATTAAAAAAATAATGCTTAGTCTGGTCGCAGTAGTTTAATAACGAATGACGACTGTTTCGCCCATATACGTACGAGACAAAGTTCAACAAATTTTGTTTTAGATATTTACATAAGTTGTATCTTTTCTAAAAATCCAAATACAGAATTTAACAATATAAATAACTATTTAAACATTGTAAACAATATATTCGCCACTGACGTTCACTGAAACTCAATGTTAACCTTTACCGAAATGTGCAGCAAATTAAAAAAATAATGCTTAGTCTGGTCGCAGTAGTTTAATAACGAATGACGACTGTTTCGCCCATATACGTACGAGACAAAGTTCAACAAATTTTGTTTTAGATATTTACATAAGTTGTATCTTTTCTAAAAATCCAAATACAGAATTTAACAATATAAATATCTATTTAAACATTGTAAACAAGATATTCGCCACTGACGTTCACTGAAACTCAATGTTAACCATGGTATAACACGGGCATTTATATCCCGAAGTGGGTTTTTTTGTATAAAATACGTCATGTTTTTTGTACCTCCACCCCTTTATGAATAGCCAATATTGCACATGTATAGAAAAAATACGTAATTAGGGGTAAAATTCTCAATACATATTTGTTGTCATAATCGTGTAAAACAAAGACAATTTGTGATTGGAGTAATGCGTCCCATTACATCAATCCAACATAAGTGTAGTAAAAAGGTTTAAATGAACTAAAATTGTCCTGAAATAAAACACAATATTTAACTTATCCTAATTATACCTGGAAAACTCTTAGGATCTGTGAAAACATCGTTTTTATGGGAGGGTACAATAACGGCTGTAGACCATTTGGCGGGAAAACATCAAGATTCAATATATTGTTAATAATGTATGTTTAAATAGGTATCAATTCATTAAAGCACTTCCGCCGTGTGATTTCTTACGTTTCACGTTATAATTGGCGATTCAAAAAATTACCGCGTTGCAGTCTAAATCATTGACTTCCTCTTGTATAGGACATGTACTAGCTGCCGAAAGTCGAAGATTTTTCAAGGGTGCGCTGGAAGATTATTATTATCATTGTTTGTGTTTAAGCAGGTACTCTATTACATCACACTGAACGGTCATATTGCCTCTTTTACTCTTCCGTTTTGTTTTTCGTTATAGTAAGCACACCGAGCATTAAAGAATCGTATTGAAGTTGAACAAAAGGTGAAGAGCATTTAGATGTTGTGTACGTAAAACAATTAATTTCGCCTTTAAACCATTGACCATTTAAATACCTAGCGCTGTCGACCGCAGACTTGTTTAAACATTGATCTGTTACCGTTTTTAACGAAAGGGGTTTCATAATACTATCACATAGAAAATTTTCTGACAAATTAATTGTGAAAATAACTGATTGTTAATGAAAAATCTTAAATCTTACTATCTGTTATTAAATTTGTATTTCGAATTGTTCACATCTAGAAAGCCAGAGACTTTATACAAAACAACTTTATATGACATTTAGACGGAATTTGACTATACACATGTTACATTATCCTCAAGTGATCCCTAATATATAGATATATTCCATCGGTGATACTGTGGAGTGCTAGGAGTGTTTATAAATAGAACTTTATTACCGGGACATTTATAACTTTCTGACTGGGAGTCTGGGTCCTATTTGATAGTTTGTCAGTGACCTATCGCCATGTCCAGTATCCTCTTGGTCATTTCTCTGGTCATCCTGACGGCCACCGTAACATGTAAGTAGCCTATTGTTATCAATTTTCTTAAATTTGTTTCATTTAAACCTCGTTTAAAAATACTAACATTTATTTATATTGTTAAAGATGTTTTTATGATAACACGTTATCGTATTTCTGTTGATGTCAGTTATAAGTATTGAATGTTATGTATTTTTAGTGTAGTTTTATACAGGTATCGTTACCGGTATGTCCTTAATTTAAGCTATACGTCATCATATCATTACAGATGTTTCAATGATATGTCTTATATATCAGAGTTTATTTTTGTTTTTATTTATATTTCAAATCAATTATATATTGGGCAATAACTAAAACATTGTATATCGTATGACATGGGAGGGACCTATATCGTCATCATCGCCTGATATGGGGCGATTATGTCAGGCAATACCTCGTGACATATAATGAAACAGATATCACATTACAGGTCAACCGTGGCGTCTGTTTCCCATTATACTAGGGGGAGTATCAGACTGCTTCATAAAAATGCCGAATGTTTAGTGGGTCAGCTACTACATTTTATTGTTCGCCCATTCATAAATATTTATCAAACGATTTCGGCTTAAGTCTTTTTTTCACTGAGGGAAATTAGTATTTAATGTCACCTTGGAACCCCCGCTGAATACAAACGCATTGAGTACCGAGAGAGGAAAAATTTCTGCATAACAACATATGCAATGTGTGCCGCCATGAGGCAATCAAATGCAAGTACTCTCTGACGCCTACCGACACACCTCCAAAGTATGTGTATACATACATCAGTGAAGTCACTGACGATATATATATATATATAGTAATAACTAAGTACACGCTTTCATAAGAAATCAAAAGTTGGCGGAAGTACAAATCTATTTGTTGCTAGGAGGTAATGTAGATCTTGTTTAGATTACAGGAAATTAGAACAATTTGTTTCATGTGATTTGTTAGGTAAATAGCACTGCAGAAAGTGACTTTCTCAGAAATAAACACATTCAAAGTTTCAAAAAATATATATATACATATGTACACTGTGTAGAACTGACACCGGATATAGCTAGTACCGAAGCGGGCATAGAAGCTGAGCGTAGTCAAATGTCGTTAAGTTTTCCGATATTTCTGGTATTTTCTTGTAGTGTAGAGACAAATAAAGAAGCACGACAGTCAAGCATAGACGTAATTCATATCTGAAACAGGAGGCATGTTATTGTTTCGGTGTAGTTCCAAATCATTTACAAAAACAGTCTGCCTAGTACCGCTAAATCTTCATTAGCAACAGCAAATATTGTCTTGACTTGACATTTGCCACTTGATTATATACACTTATATTCTAAGATGATTTCTTATAGTTATATAGTCATGATAATACACGAAGTCACTCTATATTATGCTTCTCTCTTTAGATATTGGTATAACTAATTTTGGTGAAGTGTACGGCGAATAGCAATACATTGTACGGCGAATAGGAATGTTTAAAATAACTGGTGTACGGCGAATAGTTCATATGTATACAGTATTCAAGTGAACACCTTGCCTAAATGTGACATATTTTGTTAAAGCTAAACTTGAACTAACTATCCCCGATTACCGTAAATCTCCTACATTGTAAAATGCATGCACCTTATCGTACGTAAGGTGTAGAACACCAAATATTACAAGAAACAACAATGCACTCAATACAGTTGTACAGGTAAGTCAGATAACCAATAGTCTACCTGTGCTGTAGATGAAAAGGACAGGCCAAAATGATAGTTGTGTGTCTGTTTTTCAGCCCTCAAAATATTAGGGCTGCAAAATGAAATAAAATAAGTACCAATTATAAAACAAAGTTTCAGATCATAATTTAAAAGTGCCTATTAAAAGTTGATGAAAATAAAGTTAGAATAGACTTTGGAATCTTGAGTAGGAATGAAACAGACTTTTCCCATTGCCTGTTAAAGGTATACATATTAACACTTTCAGACGTCTGTATTGCATTTACCACCTTGCTGTTTACAGATAACTGTGAATAAATTGAGGATATATCAACTTAACTATCGTGTATTTCTTTGCAAATCTATGTATTAGTGCAGATTTTCTCAACATCACCCTTAACATTTCTTGTGTAACCCCTCCCCCTTGTATATTAACGTTGTGACAGGGAAATAGGATGTCACCTTCTGCCTAAGTTACAACTCTTCACCGCTATTGTCAAGGTCACAGCTAAAGTTCCAGCACTCCACCGCTATTGCCAAGGTCACAGATTAAGTCCTAACTCTCCACCGCTATTTTCAAGGTCACAAATTAAGTTTCAACTCTTCACCGCTATTGTCATGGTCACAGCTTATGTTGTGTTATAGCATATGAAACATGGGTACTCCTTATCATTATTTAACTCGACATTCATTAGACTTTCGAGATTCTTAACCCCTTCCCTTTACGATATCATTCAAAGGTGTTACAAAGCAACATCATTGGTATGTTACTCCAATGATAAAACAACATATAAACATAGCTAGTACAAATGCTCGCTCTAAACATGGTTATGTTAGTATAGCTGTTCGCCGTACTGTTAACATGCTAGTCGCAGTACACTTGCAAATGTATCAACAACTTTTCGCCGTACACAGACGAAAAAACATTTAAGTCAATTACATCGTAATGACTTCATTTAGACATATGACCATGATATGTTTATCCCGGTTTCATCTACATATGCCAGGAACGTCTGTTTCGTCATCGTTTATATGTCATACTTTAATAGTTATCTCTTCATCTTTCTTTGTAAATTATTTTGTACCGGTACTTTGTAGTCATTTTTTACCAATATCTTCAGATCGCATTAAATAGTTTACAAATCATCTGCATCACGTACATCATTGTTCATTGTATAACTGTTGTGCTCCTTAATTTGTCTCTACGCTACCAGAAAATACATGAAATATCGGAAAACATCCCTTGGCTCGTCTGCGCCTAGCCTCCATGCCCGCTTCGGTACAAGCTATATCCGGTATCAGTCCTACACAGTGATGTATAAACTTTATTTATTTTACAACAATTATAAGGCTAGTTATTTCAACTTCTATTAATCACTCTTGTTGGCCCGGATGCTATCGCACGGATGGTCTAAATGTGGGAGGAAACTGGTGTACTCGGAGAAAACCCACGTGGTCGGGCAGGTGACCCCATACCTTTTAACGTCCGATCAGGGAATCGAACCAAGGCCGCCCGGTGAACGGCAAGTGCGCTATCTACTACTCCACTGAACACCTAAAAGAATAGTTTGGAATTCACATATATACTTAAATCACTTATGAAATATGTAGACATATCTCTCTGTATACATCAATATATATTTGTATTATGACATCAATCTCACAATCAATATTGGCGAAATCCAAGTATTACGGGAATCTCAAGTATTATCACTCATCATGCCTTTGCAATTTGGCAAATCCGAGCTATTTTCAATCTGATTATAATTTTTAATCGATTCGCTTATTTTCAGTTAGACATTACTCATGTTCTCTGGAAGTATCAAGAATAGAACACAGTCATAACATTGATTGTAAGTGTCAATGGGAAATGTAACTGTGTATCAATTAATGGTGCTTTGGAAATTCACCATTGGCCTTTTTGCCAAAATCACATGAAAATAACTGCAACTAATTGCTCAGTTATCAAAGGAATCCAGAATGTAGTAAACGACTTGGATATACAATTTACATAATCAGAAAAAACATTTTGTGTTTGGTAATTTGATACTATTTTGTCATTTAAATCGTGTTCTGAACAAAATTATGTGAGAACTATCACACTAATACAATCATATATTTATTTTTAACATGTGTAATAAAGATAAGATATACCACAGAGGTTTCGTAATGCAATAAGAGATAAAATTCTTTTGTTTTGCTAAGATCCGCATTTTCAACCATCCGACCAGTGTATTATACTCCTAAAGTAATCAACAATACATTGCTGTTAAATTTGTGTTTATAAAACTTTAATCACATTGGTCAATACATTCCTTGATTCTAATCGTATATTTGTTTTACTTACAGCCGGATATCTCTCTGGGATGTGGTCCTGGAAGACATGTAAGACGGCTTGATTCCTTGGATTCGGCTGTTATAGCAGCGAGAAGCAATTCAACAACACACAGGGCGTTCTTCCATTGTCGCCAAAGAAACAGGGGCTGCAATTCTTCCTGTACACCCGCAAGAATCCCGTCCGTGCCCGAAAGCTCAAGTGGAACCAGAAAAGAATCCAGGGGAAACTCGATCTCCAACGTGACACAATTTTCATCATTCGTGGTTGGATGGATAGTGCCAGAAATCCAAAGATCCGCAGACTGAGGAAAACACTTTTACGATTTATACGTATATTTCTATCTATCTTAGTAAAAAAAAAAAATCGTTGTTTCAGTCGTGCTAGGGAATATACACGTGAAAGATATTTCCTGCAATGTATATATGTTATGTTGGAACCAACGGGCTTCTAGTAGTTAATGGTTACCTGGGTTTATACATCACAAGAAGTTAGCGGTTATATAATTCTTTGCAGTAGTTAACGGTTTTGTGGGAATTGATGAAAGAGGTACTAGCAGTTTACTTGTGATAGAATTTCTATAATATGAGCGCTTTCGTTTTGACCAAGATATCAACAAATACAGTTTGCGCGTTTATTTCATTTTAGTGAAAGGTTTTGTTGAAAATTTTGACGGAAAACAAAATCCGAAAGACCTAAATTTGAATTTATGATTTTTTGTGACATTATACCAATCCGTTCGTATAATTTATTTGGCTCTATCCATCATATATTCAAAAAGTGATGGTTCTTTAAGAACACTTTAATCTAAAAAGAAAATATGAAAAGTGTCTCATAGACAGCATTTGATATTTGGAAACCGTTCAAATATACGAGGCCTGGAGTGCATTTAGTAACCATCATAGTCCGGGACAAAACCGCATCCGAGTTTGACGTTGATTACCTAACATCTTTCAAAACGACATGTCTAACCAATGATCACGCGTTGCCTTCGTGTAATTAGCGCAACTACATAGATGTGCCACAAATTTGTCGCAAATATAATACAATTCGATTTGGAATTTAATAAATCGATTCAAAGGACAAAACAGTTATTGTCATTTTGAATACTGACTATAAGAAAGAAAAAAAAGTTCCTCCTAGCATCTAGTTATTATAGGTCATTGACCTTCATACTACGCGACCCAGCTTTTATCAAAAACGTACCAGTTTGCTTATTGTGATACGTACAATAGGATAGCTCTGTACAAGAGTCGTTTTGCCATGTGAACCTGCCAATTAGAGACTGCATTCACCAGTAAAGGGTTGCCGAGGAGGTATACTGTGTATTCACGGTTCCCTTTGAAAGTTTAAGTTGTCTAATTATTTTGCTTTACATTGAAGTAACCTTATAGGTTTTCAATTTTGTAGGTATCGATCCTGCCGGGCCGTCGTTTGAAGGTTACCCCGAAGAGACAGTTCTTGACGCCTCCGATGCCTTGTTTGTAGATATACTACACACAGATGCACGGGATCTGTTTGTACTAGGTGAGTACTGGCTATTGATAAGCAACTATATGGGGTAATTTGCTTTACTGTATTTTCTTACCTTAATGGTCACATCGTCTTATAAAACGTTGTTGTTCATCATAATGATACGGTATGAAGAAGTTATTCCTTGTGAAGAAATAAGTTATTTATTTCTTGTTTTGTTTCTAGGTCATCCGGGCTTTGGTGCCAAGTCAAGAATGGGACATGCAGATTTTTATGCCAATGGTGGCCATTCCCAACCTGGATGTCCCTCCACTATGAATCAGCAGTTGGGCTTGATAGTGACCGGAAGTGTTGGTAAGTGTCGTTAAGGATACAATCCCTATGTTTTAATTTTTTTTATGTCTCCGAGCAAGTCAACTTCATAAGGGGCTTGACACATTTTGTAATTTGCTTATTGTTTGTTAGTAAATCTTTGAACGTTCATATTAATTTCTTTTCCATTCTTCATTGATTGCTTTAATAACAGTTATTATCTGTCTTTTGTTTTAGATGTATTTATGAACATGGGATGCAGTCACATACGGGCAGTGAATCTGTACATCGAATCTGTTAATATACGAAAATGCAAGTATACATCGTACAATTGTACCGCAGGGGACGGACTTGATGTAGCAGAGGGTTGCAACACGTGTGAAAATGGATGTGCCCTCATGGGCTACCATTCCAACATTGGGAACCCACGCGGAGTGTTCGTATTCAATACAAACGAAAAAGCACCATTTTGTATACCTGAAACAGTCAAACTACCTGAATCAATAGACAACACAATCGTCCATCGAAACCAAATTCAGCATTGTGGTAGTGTGTAACTGTCTATTGTCTTCATCAACAAATATCTCAGCTGAGTGTCCTCTCCAGGAAAGTATTCCACACACTTCGTGTTACCAGACTGCTCATAGAATGTAGGATATGTCTATTACGTCATTATTTCGTAATCGTTCATTTAGCGTGTGCTACACAGCCAGATCATCTTGTCAACAGGAGTGGAAATCTCGCGCCCGTGTTTGTGATACATTTCTAGATCACGTTTACATCTACCGTTTACCGTTCATATTTTACTTTTATTAAGTAGTGTGTGTTTATTGTTATTACTGATATTACGTTATGTGTGTGGGGGGCATGGGTATGAGTGTGTGTTATGTATGGTGTACATGACTGGAGTATGTGTGTTAAGGAAAGCAATGATTAAGGTTAGTATACATGTTATTTATTAACGTATGGGAGTTGAATGAACGCTGGAATGCTAGACGTGTATTACTGTTTTTGTTAACGTATTGTAGCTGGTCAGTATATGGTAAAATCCTTACCAACAGTCTTTAACTCGTTCACCCCTGAAATTGCATAATGAACTATTCAAATCTTTTAATTGGAAAAGTTCAAATGTATCTTCAGGGGTGAATGAGTTAATACATCAGATCATTATAAACCTCATATTCACTACATAACAACCAGTAGTACTACATTTAAGGAGTGCTACATTCCGTGGGCGACGTTTATATTCTGGAATGACCGGTTGTTATACACTGTGTCTTAATTGGCAGACAAATGAGTAATTGATTCCTTCTGGTGCATGTTTAAAATGATATCCCGATGTGTACGATACAGTTTCAAATACAGCGAGATAAACAAACAATCAAAATATAACTATCTTATAACATTATCAATTCAAAAATAGATATATCTCCTGTATGAACGCTTTTGCCATCCACCATTTGTCAACACGTCAACACTTTTGTGAATATATTACCGTAAAGACATTGTACCTGACATTGTTAAATGGGTTAACTAAATGGGTTAACTTAAATAAACAGTTCGACAGACAATCTGACCAAATCGTGTTCAGGTGTGATGATTTCATTGATCCAGTCGACTTATTTGGTTTATAACATTAGTTAACATTGGTTGTGTGCCAGCCACTTTACGAGTGTGTATTTGTTAGTACCAATGTACGTCAGAGAGAATCAAGCAACTACAATGCAAACTTGTTATATACATTAAACAGTACATTGATATACCGAATGGCCGGTTCCTCGGTGCATTGTTAAACAACGGGTAATGCCGTACATGAGTTGTTAATAAAAGTATTTATTTGCTACGCTGTTTGTTTCGTTTATTGACCGAATCAGATATCATTTTACACACGCTGCCCACACAACAACAAAGATTTGAAGTATTTTAAGTCTTCGTTTGATAATCGGGTTTGAACTTTTGAACGCCCTTTGTATGCATTCAGCCAATAATTGCACTATGGAACATCCCGATTAACTCATAACATATCTGTCCATACATATTTGCATTAATTCGATTAAGACGTTAACTGACATCTATAATCAGTGTCCGAGGTCAGAGGTTGAGGCGGACTGAATAAAAAATATAAGCAAGCTTAGCCAAAAAGAACGGTCAACCATCGGTACCGTTTCCACATTACCGCGACAAATCACAAATCTGGCAGTATCCATGCTATATGTATCACCATCAAGAAACCATTTTTCCATTAAGTCACCAATTGCACTATGGAAAATTCCGATAAACTAATAACTTATCTGTCCATACGTATTTGCAATAATCCTATTAAGACGTTAAATGGTATCTATAATCAGTTTGTCCGAGGTCGAGGTTTGTTCGTTTCCATATTACTGCAACAAAAATAATGCAACAAATTATCATTAATCTCACTATTGCAACATGAAGTCGGTCAGTTGGCGAGTAACTCTTAAATCACCATATATTGGCTTTTTTCTGGAAACTTTACAGCACTAGTTGGATGGCTTAATGTAAAAAGGGTTTCTTGTTGGGGCAACATAAAGCATGGATATTGCCAGACAGCCGACAGAAAATTTCGATAAAGAAACGTGTGTAATTTTAATTCAAGGAAACATTTGATTATAATTCATAACAAATGCATCCGACACAAAATATCGAAGCATAAAATAATAAACAAGGCTATATAGTATTGACCTCAAAAGATTAATTATTGGCGTAGTGGACGTCCGTGGCGGTCTAGGCAGTATTTGACCCACATGTCTATTATACTGTGTAACTGTCACACAAGTGACTACGCCATTGCCGTGTCATTAGATTTGTTCAGTGATCAATGTGATACCAGACACATGCCCTATACTCCATTGGTGTCCGACAAACGTGTCGAAGTCCTTGCCAAGTACTTTAAAGGTTTATAAGACCTTACAATACACAGAATATATTGGGACGGTCAGTCGTGGTAATATTCCATTGATTAACCTAAACATCCTCTTACCTCAAGGTGAGATACCACAGAGATGTTTCATGAAACAATGGCTCCAATGAGTTCAAAACTTATTTTTCTTTATTTATTTATATTTTATTATTATTTTTTACAAATTAAATTTTGATACAAAAGGTACCACACAGTCACTACACAAGGCCAATACCATCGAAAGTCAAACTTGATACAAAAATTACCACACTGTCAATTCACAGTGACAACATCGGAGGTCAAGGTCGATACATTGTACAAACCTACCACTGTCATTACAGTGACAACATCGGAGGTCAAGGTCGATACAAAACTACCACACTGTCAATACTGATTGACAATATCGGAGGTTAAGGTCTATTCAAAAGAACCGTACTGGCAATACGCATTGACAACTTCGGAGGTCAACATCGATACAAACAACCATACTGTCAATACACGGACAATGTCAAAGGTCAAGGTCTACGAAAAACAACCACTTTTATAATACACAGGGACATCATAGGATGTCAAAGTCTATACAAAATAAAACAGGAATCAAAGAGGCCGCACATAGCAGCAAAATACGCCATAAACTCCTAAACATTACTAGAGGCAAAAATCCAGGTGCGAGTAAACGAAAGACTTAAATCATCTATCCCGATTAGTGTTAGGCTAGAACATATTCGACCGATACAAAACTACAAAATAACTCAAATGACCAGATAATTGTTTAATTTTTATTAAAACGAATGTTAAAAGGTTTAAAACAAAGTGTGCTTTCATTGGCAAAATGGCGGACTTCCTGTGGTTGACAAGTAGAATTTTCCATGAGCACTATACTTGTCGGCATGGTAACCCATTTCGGAACACCCTTGGTCACATGAATGACATCTTCCGGCGTCATAGTCTGCCTTGCTTTGGCATGGGTATGCTGTAAACGAGCATCCGGATGTCGGAATGGACTCCGTGAATAAGGCTATTGCCCTCATGTGACTACAGGCAACGGTGTCTGTGAATTCTAGGAAGGAAAAGCAAGAAAGAAAATAAAGAAAATTATATATGTATTACGCAAGTATTTTCATCTTAACGAGTAGGGTTGACCAGACCTTGTCAATTATTTAGTGTACTATATTTTTTCTCGTTTTGGCCCTCGTAATTGAACATACAAACTCAAGAACCCAAGCTTAAATGCTGTAAATCCAATATACTACTTAAGGTAATAGGATTGTGTCGCCATTTCTCAGTAGAATTTCTTCAAATTTTGTAGTTGAATTGCTTTGAAGTTTTAAAGAAAAATTTCTGCCACAAAAACAATAAAGGTTGTCAGAATTTTAAGGATTTTAAATGGATTTTTATGTGAAAAAAGAGTGAACTTTGAAAAAAAAAAATGAAACACAATTTTTGCAAAATAATGTCAATAAAAATGATACTGACAAAGATAAGTATTGCATTAATGTCTATCAATTTCATAAATGCTGAAATTGTGTAAAATTATTTATCTATAAACAATTAAAAATTGACATTTTATAATAAAACCATATACACATAGTAATTGCATGTAAGAGTTATCGTTCTTGAAAAACTTCACAGTAGTGAAATAGGTAGCCGGTTTCCTGAAGTACAGAAAAATGGACACATGTGACTCATTGATTAAAAAACAACTGAATTAATGCCTGGATTGCTTTAAAATGCTTTAATATTGAATTAACACACTGTTCTGTCAATGAACAACATATTATTCATCAGTTTAATATTAAACATTAGAATATGCGGAAATTGTGATACTGTCTCCCCACATTGGGTTTTCAACTAGGGATGTACTTCCTATTTCCGCTTAGCAATACACTCATATGACCTTAAATCCAATATACTACCCAGCTAACATGCTATAAATCCAATATACAACCCAGCTAGCATGCTATAAATCCAATATACAATTGTACTACCCAGCTAGCATGCTATAAATACAATATACTACCCAGCTAACATGCTATAAATCCAATATACTACCCAGCTAACATGCTATAAATCCAATATACTACTCGGCTTGCATGTAATAAATCAAATATCCTATCATGCCAACATGCTATAAATCCAATATACTAACCAGCTAGCATGCTATAAATCCAATATACTACCCAGCTAACAGGCTGTTAATCCAATATACTAACCAACTAGCATGCTGTAAATCCATTATAATAACCAGCAACATGCTATAAATCCAATAGACTACCCAGCTAACATGCTATAAATCCAATATAATACCAGGCTAACATGCTATCAATCCAATAAACTACCACGCTAACATGCTACAATCCAATATACCACCCAGCTAGCATGCTATAAATCCAATATAATACGAAGATAACATGCTAAAGATCCAATATACTACCGAACTAACATGCTGTAAATCCAATATACTACTTTTCTACATGCTATAAAGCTACTAAACTACCCAGCTAACATGCTATAAATCCAATATACTACGAGGCTAACGTGCTACAAATCCAAAATAATACCAGGCTAACATGCTACAAATCCAATATACTACCCAGCTAACATGCTTTAAATCCAATATACTACTCGGCTTGCATGCAATAAATCCAATATCCTATCATGCCAACAGGTTATAAATCCAATATACTCCCAGCTAACATGCTATAAATCCGATATACTACCCAGCTAGCATGCTATAAATCCAATATACTACCCAGCTAACAGGCTGTTCATCCAATATGCTAACCAGCTAACAGGCTGTAAATCCAATATACTACCCAGAAAACATGCTATAAATCCAATATACTACCAAACTAACATGCTGTAAACCCAATATACTACCCAGCTTACATGCTGTAAATCCAACATAATACCAGGCCAACATGCCATCAATCCAATAAACTACCCCGCTAACATGCTACAATCCAATATACCACCCAGCTAGCATGCTATAAATCCAATATAATACCAAGCTAACATGCTAAAAATCCAATATACTACCGAACTAACATGCTGTAAATCCAATATACTACTTTTCTACATGCTATAAAGCTACTATACTATCTATCTAACATGCTATAAATCCAATATACTACGAGGCTAACATGCTACAAATCCAAAATAATACCAAGCTAACATGCTACAAATCCAATATACTACCCGCTAGCATGCTACAAATCCAATATACTACCCAGCTTACATGTTATAAATCCAATATACTACGAGGCTAACATGCTACAAATCCAAAATAATACCAAGCTAACATGCTACAAATCCAATATACTACCCGCTAGCATGCTACAAATCCAATATACTACCCGCTAAACGCATGCTATAAATCCAATATACTACGAGGCTAACATGCTACAAATCCAAAATAATACCAAGCTAACATGCTACAAATCCAATATACTACCCGCTAGCATGCTACAAATCCAATATACTACCCAGCTAACATGCTTTAAATCCAACATAATACCAGGCTAATATGCTATAAATCCAATATCCTATCAAGCTAACATACTATAAATCCAACATACTACACGGCTTGCACGCTACAAATCCAATATCATACCAGCCAACATGCTGTAAATCCAATAAACTATCCAGCTAACATGCTGTAAATCCAATATACTACTCAGCTTATATGCTACAAATCCAATATACTACCCAGCTAGCATGCTGTGAATCCAATATAATCATCCGAGCCGAAGTGTATGTGTGACCGAGGGTGTGTTCAATTTTGTGTGATTTCCTGCGAGTGTTTATAGTGTCCGAATGTAGTCTGTTTCAATAAGGTATTGTCTTTGTGTTTTAGGAATTCGCGATAACGTAAACAAATTAGTTTATGAGAAAGACCCACGTGTTTGTTCACTAGATTCCGTATGACGGAAAACCCTTCTGGCACTTCCAATGTCCTACTAAGCTAAAACCTACTTCACTAGGCTATTAGCATGTGATAATTCCAACATACTACCAAATATCATGCAAGGCTTTTAAGTTTACTACAGATAACACATGTTATACTTACGCTCAATCTGCAGGGCTATCAGGAAAAACCAATGATTGACATCTTCCTGTGAACATCCGGGTTGTTTCTCGCCGCCATTGGGATAAAAATCGGCATGCCCAAGCGCTTTGTCCAAACCAAAACCTGTCGGACGTGACAACAGATTTAATTATACAATATCGTAAATAGTAACTTATCTAATTTTCTTGCGAATATGATTGATAATACAATACATAGACGATAGTATATATATATATATATACATTTTTTTTGTACCTTAATTCAATAAATTTGCAGCTGTTATTGTGGCATATGATTGTCGAGGTCATACAGTGTATCGCACCTTATTTGGCAGCATACAGAACAAGTTGTTGGTCCCCATGTTGTAGCACAGGTTCCAGGTCTTATATAATCACTATCACAGGGACCTGAGAATTTGTTACAGCTATATTTGGACTTAAACTAAGGTGCTCAGAGTAATTTTACATGTTTTAGAGGTTTAGATCGATATATACGAGAGGGGTGGAAAGCTCTCGATGTCGGAAATTCGACCCCACCTAACATTCTTGATTCAAAAACAACAATTCTAATTGATGCACGGAAAAATGCTTAGTGCCGTTGGAAAGATGGATTAAAAAAAAAAAACTTCTATATGCACCGAAATGTATTCTATCGCGGACATGATTTCCGTTTCCTCCAAAAACACACGCCATGTCAGAGTTTCGATGTTTTTCGAAGTCAGAGAGCCGATTTTTGTATATTCATGAGATTGACATCAGCCACGTGATATGATTGGCTGAAATCGCAGCCATGTTTTCGCTTAAATTACCAGCCAACCAACACTGCATATTTCGGCACGAGGCTGACGTCAACCTCATGAATTACTATTTATACTGCTGCCGATACTCAAAAACATATTCAAACTTGGAATGACGTTTTAGCGGCGATAACTTTAATCACGGACTTTGATAACACTAACACTAATCTAAGTCCGTGCTTTAATAGAATTAATTGACCTTATAAAAGCAAACTTGGATAATTTTAACACGAAAATAATTGGACAACAAACGTACTTCAATACCATATTTGGAATTACATATCGAATGATATAAAGGAATCCGACTTGATTACGTGCCGTCGTACCATTGTTTTAAACATGGCACGGGTGATACCACAAAGGTTTTACAGTCAAACCTGGTAGAGGAATAGAGAGTAACTACTGCGGGTAACGATGTGGAAAAGACTAGCAAACAGGAATACATATTTGTAAACTATATGGCAACACACTATACATTTTTCCAACACATAATACATATGAATGTATTTGTCAATATACCTGTAAATGCATTATGTATTGTGTTAATCCTTTTACAATGTAAATTTACCTAGTTTCGAAAGAGAGTCAGAATCGCTATGAATGACGTCCACAAAAGACGCATCAGTTGGGTCCAGTCTCACTTGAGCATCAAAGTTCTCGAAAAGCGGGCCAGCAGGATCTAGACCTGGAAGTAGTGTCAATTGGTTAAGTAAACTTTATCTATTTAACAACAATTATGAAACAAGTTATTTTAACTTATATTAATCACTTTTGTTGGCCCGGATGATAGTCCGATCGGGGAATCGAATTCCGGTCGCCTAGGTGAAAGACAAGAGCGCCACCCATCCACTGCGCCACCAGACCACCCAAAGTAGACATTTGGAGGATAATTTTGAAACATTTGCTATTAAAAAGCATAACTGTACTGTGTAACATATGTTGAAGACACTCTGAACAACCAATATCGATACAAATTTGTTTGCCATTTCGGAAATAATCGAAACTATTAGGGAAATATAATATGTCCTACCTGTGATCCTCCCAATGCCGTGAACACGCCTCCCAGCGTACCCAGCTATATGGGATCCAAGACTGTGCCCTATTAAGTGGACACGACTGTAAGAAAGCCCGGTCGTGTGATGGAGCTGCTCCAGAAGTTTAGCTGTTGTGGCGCCCACTACGCGAGTATTAGCGGCCGACTTAATGTAGTTGATGTTGTCAGCTCCTAACGACCAGTCTACCGCAATCACGTTAACGTCCTCCTGGAAAAAGATGGTTTTATTAAGGACAATATACAAACTTGACAGGTTATATTAGTGCATGTTACCAATCTTAGACCTTTATAACAAATCGGGTGGTGTAGTGGTCGGGTGGTGTAGTGGATAGCGCATACCCTTTCACCAAGGCGACCGGGGTTCGATTCTCCCCGGTCCGACGTGAAAAGGTATAGGGTCACCTGCCTGACTTCGTCGGTTTTCCCCGGGTACTCCGCTTTACTCCCACATTAAGACCCTACGCGCGCTAACATCTGGGCTAACAAGAGTGATTGATAGAAGTCGAAATAACTTTTTTCACAATTGTTGTAAAAGTTTATATTTACAACAAATCTGACATACTATTAACCTGGGTTTTTTTTTAAAGTGAACGATATCTAAATGGGTTTTCTTAACACTCATTGTATTCAACACAACAATAACGTTATAGTTTAATGATAATGGCTGCAACGTAATATCGTATCGTATCGCGGCACGGCAGTCTAGTGGTAGGACGCCGGGCTCGTGACCGAAGGGTTGCGTGTTTGAGTCACGGAAAGGCACTTTGTTGTATCTTTGAGCAAGATGCTTCACTCCGCTTGTTCCAGTATACTCAGCTGTAAATGAGTACGTGGTTGGGAAGTGCTAGAATTGTTGAATGTTAGCCGTTAGCGCGCGAAATGACAGCACCTGTTGTATGCTCCCCAGGGAGTTGATATTAGCTGTTTGCAAAGGCCCTTTAACCACGGATAATAATTTGTGAACCGCGTTGAGACGACCTACGAACTAGGTTGCGATAAAGCGGTATATAAGAACCTCGAAATATTATTATTATTATTACTTTCTTGTGTATCGTATCAAATGGTTTTGTTTTCCTGTATTGCGATACAGTACTGAATTTATCAATCAACTCTGAAAACAGTGTACGTATTTGTTCTTAATCATTCAGTAAAGATGTGGTTCACTGTGCAGTCAAACCCAAAAATACTGAGAGATTTTTTTTATATATAGTTTGATAGTATTAACTGTTGGGGTCTATGATAAAACTCCATCAAATCCTGCTCTTAATCAGTATAAAGTTGATGTTTGTATCGTGATACGTCTCATATCGTAAGCATCGTACCGCGATACGTAATGCATCGTGAGATATACGTATCGTTGCAGTCATAATAATAATAATGAAATATCAGCCTCATTTCAACCCTTTAACCGCGAGTTCCTCCCATTTCGTTAGTATGGTTTCTTTTTTCCTGGCATGAAGTCCTTCAATGCAAAATGATATGCATTCCTAGCTTTCGGCTGTGTGCCAACGCGAACCTCGTCATTGCCATGACTGCAGTTGTCCGAGAGCAGTAGTCGGTATTCATCGGGATTTTTGTTCGGGGATTTTCGGAATGCCACTTTTCACGTGAAAAATTAGTCGACAATCACAGATAAGCCTTTAGACTATTTCGCGCTTTTCATATTATCCGATTGAACTAATTATTCGTTAGCAGTATGACAATATCAGAGAAAAACATAAAGACATTTTAGTAAGAACCCCTTACAAAAATCTGATATTGTAACAGATATGACACCATACATGTAGTATCACATGCAAAGGGAGATAATCGCAGATACATAATTTGTGATATATAAAAAAAATATTAACATCATACATGCGATATCACATACAAAGGGAGATAATCGCAGTACCACATTCATAAAAATTATCATATCCCCGATTTCTAACCGATCTGGAATGCCCTACCTACAAAAGCCCGAAAACCTTACGATTTAGATAATAAGAATAGTGTTTAGACTAAAATATAATTCAGCTAAAACGAAGTAGTATATGAGACCTTGATATGATTTGAAATAAATGTATGTAGTAAAACCTCAGCTGTACAGGTGTGTGCTGATAATGTATATACCTCGAGGGCTGATATTGGTCGAGGGTTGATACTGGGTGTGATATGGAAATGGGCATGTTTTATTCTGTTTATAACATACATACTAATAAAAGCTACTTTCTTATGGGTGTTTTTTTCTTTTGAAATATTGAAAAACCAAAATTTCCCAAAGGGGTGTGATACGAGTTTTGCGGGCTGATACGGAGAGGGCTGATACGGGTTTTTGGGTGTGATACGGCGAGGACTGATACGGATTTTGGGGTGTGATACGGCGAGGGCCGATATGGGTTAGAGCTATTGTGTCGTATCGCATATACAAACTAGAAGTATGTCAGTGTGACATGAAAGCCGCTCACCACTTTAAATGTACATCTGTAATTGCTTCAGTAACACGTTGAGCATCAATATCTACTATAATACCTCAGATATGTGGTCTGTGTTCTGCTAATTGAAAATCATGTGTGACATGTGATGATGTTGCCTTTGGGATTTCCAAAATCAATCACCTCTTAAATGATGCCTTAAAAACATTTCTCCCTCTCCAAGTGTTACGCATTGTTGTATTTTTCATTTATTAGGGTTACGGCAGTTGTGTCATGTTCTTAAATTGTTACACTTTCATAAATAAATACACCAGAAATAGCATGATGTGTTAAAGAAATGTTTGATAAGCATAAACAGTTCACATATCGTCTCGTCTCAGAGTCAGAGCCATTACCATGGTCAACCTAGGCACGATATGCCATATTACGTTCCCGTTTGAAACATCAAAATAGAGGTTTTACTTCATCACTTATACGGTTTATAATTATATATATTTACTTCTTCCTTCTACAGACAGCGTCAATGCTTGACAGTCTTCACGTGTGCTTTCTCGAATTATATGTGTCACTCCTCAGACCTCAATCCGAGTTGCTAAAACGCTCAAACTCAGTGCACGAATTTCACGACCACAACACTCGTAGAATGCACCGGAGATCAACATTTTGTTTTCAGCAATTATTCAAAGTATGGATTATTATCTGGAGAAGAGTATCAGAAGACTTTATGTAACCCACAGGCGAGTGTCAGAGATTCTACTTTCTATTTACGATAATTATATAACGAAACTATATAGCGGACGCATGCAAGACTGAATTATGCGCATGCACCCCGAACGGAAGTGGGTCCATCATTTCGATCTCTGGACAGAATTAATAAGCCGCTCGGCTCTCGCCAAGAGCGGCTTAAAAAACGTATCAATATGTGCAAAAACATTGTCTTTTTGTGTTGCACAAAATGTTATTCAATATGTTTAATTCGGGACTAGAGGGTTGAATAAAAGTCATAGAAATGCACTGTAAAATATACTAACCGTGTTCAAAAACACTTGGACCATTTGTTGCATCCAATGTGAATGTCCGCTATCTCGATAACCGTGAATAATGACTTTGGTATTCTTGGCGCTATCGAAGTGGCTTCCTGTGACAGTTGCGTTGTTGTAAGGATCTAGGGATTTTGCATGCGTGGTATTTTGTCGCGTATAAAGCAAGAAATTTGTCTGAATATGGTCCGGAGGTTCTGGTAGATATCCCTTTGCATTGCGAAAAGGTCTGGCGTTACTAAAACAACCGATGTGTTGATAGCAAACCTGTCTTGTAAACAGGAACCCTACAATGTTAAGAAAAAGATGCATATACTCAAGGTGAAGGGGAATGCACGATACACGCCGATGCGGGGTAGAATGTTCAACAAAATCAGTTATTGTATGATTTTAAGATGCAAAACATCTTTAGTTTTACAAAGGGGAGGGACAAGCAAACAGCGTATGACAGTCCCCGAGTGTAGCCTGAGGACCATATTCTAAACAGCGGTCGTGCTGTTCGTTTTCTGAACATGTTTTGTATATTATCTGTAGAAAATCAAAATCAAAGGAACGCTGTTTTTAAAGTTTAACTTCCTCACAGCTAGATCATATGGAGATGGTCGATTGAAATAATATCATTATGTCAGCGGTTATAATGTTGCCAATATAGTGTCGACTTATGTAAAACTTAATCCTTCCGATAGATCGCAGGGGCCTGATAATTTGTTACAGCTATATTTGGACCTAAATTAAGGTGTTTAGGGTAATTTTACACGTTTTAGGAGTTTAGATCAATTTTCGGTAAAAGTGCCACCCCCAATGATGATAGTATACGAATATCATCATTTGGGGTGGCATTTATACCGAACAAGAGGCCCAGCGGGCCTGTATCGCTCACCTGCATATCTAAGCAATCATGGCAAAATATTCTCCAAATGAGATCCAAGGGAATATGCCAAACCAAAGGCTCCTTGTAGCATATCTGTATTAGATTTTTCATGCCCAGCAACTTTATGTATGGTTATGGGGTGGGGATCTCAACTGTTTCCAAGCTGTGACTCATAAACTAGGTCCATAGGTTGTGGTCAGACCACAGGATCAATTCTAATATCATGACTGCATTCGTCTCTTTTTGCCCAGCATTTGTATATATAGTTTTGGGGTGGGGATCTCAACCGTTTCAAAGTTATGACCCAGGGGTTAAATCTGCAAAGGTGGGGCAGACCCTGGGATCAATTCTAATATCATGACTGCATTAGTCTCTTTATGCCCAACAATTGTATATATAGTTTGGGGTGGGGATCTTAACCATTTTGAAGTTATGACCCAGGGGTTAAGTCTCCAAGGGTGAGGCAGACCCCAAGACCATCATGGAAGCATATGTTCGGGGTGGGGATCTCAATTGTTTCCAAGCTGTGACCAAGAAACTAGGTCCCTAGGGGTTCGGTCAGACCCAAGGGTCTATTCTAATATCATGACTGCATTCGTCTCTTTATGCCCAGCATTTGTATATATAGTTTTGGGGAGGGGATCTGAACCATTTCAAAGTTATGACCCAGGGACTATGCCTCCAAGGGTGGGGCTAGACCCTAGGGCCATCATGGAAGCAACTGTGCATTCTTCTTTTTATACTCAGCAATTGTATATATGGTTATACGGTGGGGATCTCAACAATTTCCAAGTAATACACTTTATATGGCCCCATCCCTTAGCCCGGGGGGGGGGGGGCAGCAACAAAATTTGTACAATTTTGAATCTCTACCTCCCATGAATGCTCCGACCAAATATGGTCGATATCCATGGCACAGTTCTACAGAAGAAGTCGCTTAAAGCAATATAGCCAAATTGGCCCCTTTTGGCCCCGCCCCTCAGCCCCCTCGGGGTCAGCCCCACCATTTGTACAATTTTCAATCCCCACAACCTAGGGATGCTTCCAGTCAAATATGGTTGATATCTATCTCTTAGTTCCAGAGAAGTCGCTTAAAGCAATATAGCCAAATTGGCCCCTTTTGGCCCCGCCCCTCAGCCCCCTGGGGGGTCGGCCCCACCATTTAAATAATTTTGAATCCCTACAACCTGGGGATGCTTCCAGTCAAATTTAGTTAAATTCCAATCTGTGGTTAAGAAGAGGAAGTCGTTCAAAGAAATTGTTGACGTACAGACGACGGACGACAGACGACGGACGGACGACGGACGCCACGGTATGGCATAAGCTCACCTTAGTCCTTCGGACCAGGTGAGCTTAAAATTGATCTAAATACCCCAAGCGTGTAAAATTACTCTTAACATCTTAGTTTAGGTCCAAATATAGCTTTAACAAATGATAACTGTTGCGGTGAAAATATGAATACTCTAATATTAAGGATCTGCGTATTACTGTCAGAAATATGTAGTAACACACTTGAAACTATTTTACCGGCGTGACTTCAGATTTGATAAATCATTTCTGAAACAAAAATCATACATCGCAATATTCTAGAATGTGTGGCGTTTACAAAGCCACTCTATCGTTTTATTCCTGGTGTAACTTGTTGATCATTGATTAAAATGTTCATGATTTAGATAATAGTTTGTTTCAAAGCAAATTCACGTGAAACCGTTGAATAGCCATGCATGGCCTTATTTACCGTTGAGCTGCCTCTGCAACTATAGTTCAACAAAAATAAATGTACGCATGGATGCATGGGTATATCTAATAGATTTCAACGCGCCTCGGGCGCCGATCTGTTTCGAAAACAAATATATACTTTAGGAGTACTTAAATATACTTACCTGTCGTGATTTTGCTCAGAATGAAGAGAGAAAGCAATCTCAGAAACGCCGCCATTGTAAACGTGGTCTTCACACCTGGAACATATAGATAATTTGTACAGGGACATTTCGGTCATTTTGTGGCCTGTCCAGGTCACATGATCACAGGTGTTTGTAAATATGTGAATATGCGGAAGGCATTGATAAAAATGAACGGAAAGTCACGTGTGAAAAGTACTTGTTCAATTGAGAAAGACAGAAAGAGGGATTATTGGAGGATTGAGAAGACAGACAGAAAGAAAAAGGAGACAGACAGGTGGAGACAGAGAGAGAGAGAGAGAGAGAGGCAGAGAGAAAGACAGACTGAGCGGGAGAGAAGTGGAGGGAAAGACAAAGACAGAAATAGTGTAATGAATAATATTTATCGAACGAAAGTGCTTAAGCCACCACAACAGATTTTCGAATGTCCGAGGTAGACGATAACAATGATACGTAAACTTGATCATCTTTACTATTCTTATTAATATTTCCTTTCGGCATGATTAAATATTTATTACCCTTCTGCAGGGAAACACGATTTGTTGTTTCTTCTCTATTAATCGTGTTTAAATCTGAGGTCAGTTGGCCCTCGTGAAACATGATTAATCTTGGAGAAACAAAGAGTCGTGTTTCCCTACCACAAGGGTAAAAACTAATGTTACGTAAGTAAATGGACAAAACAGCCTATGAAATACTTAACCGGAAATGTTTCTCTAAGCCAGAAATGGAACTCGTCTTCGCGCTTATATATATCTGGTACAGTGGTAACTTTTACCTTAATATAAAACAAACATCTTTCATGTTGTCAATTAAATTTGAATAAATTGTTCGTCGGTTTTAAATAAGTTCTCCACTGGAATTAAACCTCCTGGTAGCACGGGGTTGCATCTTGAGGACACCACCGAGTTATATTTTGGAGATCAGGGAATGTTCAAACCATCAAGCCAAACCTGTCATACGTTACCTGTATTAGCATACTCAGCCTAGTTTTGTCATAATCAATACTTCACCTGGTTGACATATTTCACCTCCAGATTATTTTGAATACAGAATTTGATATGGTTTTCCTTATCAAAAGCTTTCCTAAAATTCTACCCGGGGCCAAATGTTTGCATACTCAACAAAAATCATGAGGTTATATTTAGCATCCTACCTTGCGGAACAACAGAGCATCGTTGAATATAAAACGATGTTTCAGTAGCTAGTAGAGACATCTGTAACGGAGTTCTGTGTTTTCCTTAAAATCAGTCGTGCGTGTAATTCGCTGATCACCTTTTAGCTCCAAAATGATGTTTAAGCCTCCGGCATGAATGACCGGGGGCTTATAAGTAGTACATGTGTGCGCATGTCTTGAACAGAAAAAGCCATCTTTTATGATCGCTGTGTGGCGCTGCGCTGTTGACTTTATATACAAAATGACGGACGTATATACGTTTATGTACAACGCGTTTCAGAATGGTGTATGGTACGGTACTAGTCCAATCTCAATTATTACCAATTCTTCTAGCACTACAAAATAAAACGTTTCATTAATGTGAAGTCGTTCACCCCTCAGTAACTCCTCGGCTGGCACACCCTGCAGGAGCGGAGAATTCAGGCCTAGCAGGTGATGCTGTATAAAATTAAATCGCCCACGGTCTTATCGACATCCGCCCAGAACCATACCTTCTGCCTGCATCAACAACAGCAAGGACCAGAGGACACGACAACCGGTACGTCCAACCTACATCAAGAACACAGACGTACCAACATTCATTTTTTCCAACTGCAGTGAGGACGTGGAATCAACTACCATCGTCAGTTGTGACAGCACCATCTGCCGATGCCTTCCGCCACAGCATCAGCAAGATCCCGACAGAAGATGATAGATCTGTTTTTAACTCGTTTTAATTGTACATTGGCTATCGTGGATAGGTGCAGTACAAAATTCTGGTATACATATACAAGGCACTGAATGGAACAGCTCCTCAGTACCTACAGGAACTTGTTACCCTGTATCAGCCGTCAAGATCACTGCGGTCGGAGTCAGAATCTTTGTTGTGTGTCCCAAAATCTCGTACTGTGACCTACGGAAACAGATGCTTTGGGAGGGTTTCGGCTACGTTGTGGAATAGCTTACCATCTGCTATTAAGAAGTCGAATACCCTGGCCAAGTTCAATAGGGACATAAAAACTCACCTCTTCACGTCTGCATTTTAGAATCTTTGCAAAGACGTCATGTAAATACCACCCTTTTATTTGTTCAATTATATGCACATTGCTTGTTAAATGTATGAAAGTGATTGCAGACCTTTGTTGTTTGTTTTCACAATAATAACCATTACTATTATCCATATGTTGTAAAGCGCCTTAGAGGAATTTTACAAATTATATAGGGCGCTATATAAATGCTGTATATTATTATTTTTATTATTATTTACCTCCCGCTATGCGCAAACTGTGCGACAATATTCTTATGAATGATGCACATGCTTGTGAAGAAGAAGAAGAAGAAGAAGGAGAAGAAGAAGAATAACGAGCACAAGATTTTGGTTCATTGTTTTATTACGTGTCCAGTGCAGGTCCAGTACGCTCTGCCGATTGAGCTATATAGCTGTTAAGGCCTATAATAGCTCTATTGACCTATCTGAAATAGGTCTTTTGAGCTATTTTCAAGTGATTTTCTTTTTTAAAGAAAACGAAACAAAGTCGCTTTTAAAAGAAGATTGTATCATTAGGTTGATAACAAAAGACATTAAATTTAAGTATTCTTTTTAAAAAATAATGATGTAAAAAAATCGGAAATTTTACATTTATGAAAAATGAAAATAAACATCTAACTGTATGCTCTTTGTAGTCAACATTACCATAAACCTTATTGTTATATGCGACTTTGCTTTAATTTAATGAAATTTTGAAATCTGAGAAAATATAGCTCAGTACAGCTATAATGTATAGGTGTATATAGCTATATAGGTATTTATAGCTATATAGCTCAATCGGCAGAGTGTACTGGACCTGCAGTGTATAAACCTAAAATACAATATATTACGTACAGTATTAAAATATATGAGTTGAACTAAGTACGAAACTGACGTTTACAATAAATGCGAAATGATGTCTATCTACACTATTTAGTTCTACTTTCGCTTTATAAGCTTCGACGTTATTAAACAGATATAGTATCATATTATCTTATATTATATTGCACTGTGCTATAATGTACATTTACATATTACTATTACAATGATAATGACTTACCAGAGGCTTGGAAAGGTCAGTCCTGCTCCGACGACAGCACAGTGCAGAGTGAGGTGGGAAGGTTACGGGTGCGTGTGTATACGACAACCAGAGTGGCGTGAGTATTGGAAATACTCGTGCAATCGCATTCGCTCGACCTTACACGTATTCGTTCTGAAACGGGTACGATAGACAACACATACAAGTAAACATGCTGACCTAGGGCATAGAGTACACCCTGTTACATTAAAAAAGGGAAAAGCAGATGATTGTTTACGATAGAGCTAAACAACCCGAACACATCCCATGTCTTGAAGCAAATGAGAGGGTTTCCGCGGAACGCTAGGTTTTTATGGTCATGTAAGCGCTTGAATCGTGTAAAGTTATTTTCCTGATTGTCAGATACTACCAGACGCAAGTTATTTTCTCAAAGGTAAGAACCACCGAGCGCATTCTGATATTACTGATGCTTTTGTATGATATGAAAAGCCAAAGCCTTAAATGAGCGTAGCTTTTGTCGATCTCTGATATTAACTGATTCAGAAAACTGCTTTCATAATGAGATAAGATGAACTTTATTTGAAGTCGGCAAGTCGAGGAATAACAATAACACACTAGCTCTAATGAGATCAAGACCGACATAACAATATGGGAGACCGGGGCAAGTCCGGCCTATTCTTTTTTATTATAAAAGTCCGTTCTGGGGCAGCACGTCCGTTTTTGAACATTATTTAACTTTTCCTGTCTGAAGATCGGTTGGCCGAACGAGCCCCGCCATGTGGTAAGTTCGGACAGGCATTCGGGTAAGTTCGGCCCCCGTTGGAATCAGCTTAATTATAAAGTCGTAAAGCATGCAACGTCAGATTTTACCGCCAATTTTACGATTTTTTGTGTGTAACGTGGGCCGAACTTGCCACGGTATCATTGGCCGAGCCTGTTCGGGCCCAAATTGATATTTCATTAAATTCTTATCGCACAGCAATGTGGTAGCGAGTGCTTTGCATGGCTTTTATGTATATCATTTGAAGCTGTCAGTGTGTTACACGTTTGATCGTAAAAACATAGCAAAACTAGAAGCGAGATCATGATTTTCTTTCTGCCGTGTTTCAAAAGTAATTTTCTCCTGATTAGTAATTTTACATTTGAGAGATCTTTAAAGTTGTAAATATGACCTCAAAAACAAAAATGTCAGGGAGGCCGAAATTGACCCGGTCTCCCGTAAGTAGATTTTTTGTATCATTAATGCTTGGTAAAAATGTATTCACAATATCATTTTTGCATCAATGACGCCATTTGCTTCTAGTCAAGCTAAAGTAGATATTTGTTATTGACGTATATGATGAATCGGGTAACGCAGTGGCTAGTACGCACGTCCTCACAAAAATTGCCAGATTCAATCCCGGTTTGTTCTCAATTCCCCCACATTTTAGAATAACATGGGGAGAAGAATGTTGTTAGAAGGATTATAGTCTGTTTACGAGTAGTACTGGCAGTATTTACCTGTATTTACCTGCATTTTTATCCATTTATCAAAGGTGGTGTTCTATCTAAGCTGAAAGCTGATATTAAATTTAACAATACATCATATAAGATTTTCAGATTTTTAATAACAAATGTTAATATTTATGATATTTCAATAATATATAAATATTAAATATATCCATTATGTAGTCCTTGTGCTGCTGATTTGACATATGATAAGATGAAACACATGTGTTATTTTTTTGGGGAATGATTTTGTACTTGAAAACATATTATTAAAATAATAATATCAATAGTTATTACATAAAACTTTTCTTTATCATTGTAGCATTTACATGTAATATGGTCCCTAAAAACCTGGTAAGAATGGTTGTGTGTGACTAAGAGTGTGGTGTTTAATTTGATAATTAAACTTTAAAAAAAGAAATTCATCTTAATTCCTAGATGTTAGAAGTATATTGATCATAACTATCATAAACATAATTTCCATATTGGTGAGCTAGAAGTGATCACGGCCTATGCTAATTAGTGAGATAATGAGTTTCACCATTATCTAGGCACACGATGGACTTTATGGAGTACCTGAACGCAGCATCACATCTCTTACATCTGGGATAGATTACAACAAAAATGTGTGACACTTGACTGTCGGACTGTAGTGTATATTTGCATTAATAACAGTTCCCTTTTTGTGCTTGACCTTTTTTTTTATTATGACGCAACAATCCCACATATTTTGTATGTCGGCATCATTTGTTTGTGTTTAAATAATAAATAAAATTACAAGTCCAATGGGAGGGTAAAACTATTCATAAATATCATTTAAAATTATGTCTTATCTACAAAGCATAGCTGTACTGTACACGTGTACAGGAATTTGATGACATTATTTCAAAGAAGATAAATCAATATGTATGTTAATAAAATATCAATCAAATGTTCCATTGATTTGAAAAATATTTCACTACATCGGACATACACTAATATGGAAATACAATCTGTTTTAACCCAATAAACACCTGTCGCAGTTTTGAGAACCCGGATCAACCATGTTTTTCATTATTTTGAGCACTTTCCCAAACAGCCAAAGGAGGACCGCTTACCTGCCATACGATTTATTTTGCATATTACATCACGGAATCCAAAAATGCATTCAAAAGTTGTTTCTCAGATGGGAAACTGATGAAAGTATTTTTGAAGTCTGGGAAACCCCATCACTTTCATAGATATAGTGAATATGGCTATATTTACAGTATCCTATTAGCAATACCTAATATCTCAGCAGTTCATATTCAATTGGTTTGATATCTGTTTCATGCATTATACAGAAAATATCAGCATTTTTACCTTTTGTGCCTGTGACAAAAACTGAAATTAAAAAGTCATGAAGCACCGACAAAGAGATAAATGCAACGGCCATCAGTTCCAAGATTTTCCGGTTATTTTTCATCCTTCCGGAAATAACCGATGAAGGCCGATGGACATTCGGCAAACCTCGGCCGATTCCGGTACCTTTCATCTAACTTTGGGTCAGTTTGTGCCCTGTAGAGGACTGTAAACAGAGACTGTATGTATCTATAATGTTACGTACAGACATAGACTTGTATAATGCATGAAACAGATATCAAACCAATTGAATACGTACCTGAACGAAACTAAAATGATGACTATTGCCAATTTGCGTTATTTCTTTCTTGGACAATGTCAAGACACATGCAGTTTTTAAGATACGTGTTTCTTATTCTCCGAAACTGTGCATTTTTAGCTCTGCTTGTAGAACGGTCTCATTGTGTTCGTTTATCGTGGATAATTTCTGCGCCACACGTACCGTTTCAACCGGGATACGCGAATGTAGCCCTAGGTGACGTCCTGGGTCATTCAGGCAACCACGTTAGACACGTCAACTTTATTTTTACAGAATTTGTATAATGTTTTACAATCGAGTGTGTAACATCGCGTGATGTGGTTAAGTCTCGCGGGAGATACATTAGCGATATCATGTTATCTACTTTCTATGTGTAGTTATTACAGCAAGTGCATGGTCGCCCCGGTGCAATTTATAGATGAGTTGTTATTTTTGAGTTATTAGCACAACTGGTGATTATAGGAGAATTAATGGTTGAGCACACCATGGACGTTCTTAACAGTTCAAAGCCAGATCGAGATGAAGACAAAAAGGAATAATTTCGATTTAACATTGTATAAAGTGAATAAATGTACGCCCTCGTTTAGCTAGGCGGACGACCTCCCTATAATGAGTGTGAGTTTATATGATAAATGATATTTGCTCGTTAGAGAGGAGCGAACTAGAACATAAGTATCGCTACCAGTAATGGGGCTCGTTGTCGGTTTTATGTAGTAGGACGAGGAATAGTGATAAAGATAGTGCCGTCTCTGGGGCTCGAGCTCGCGACTCTTGGTCGATACCATAATTGTGCTAACAACAATGGTGTATATTAAAGGTTGAGATACCACTGGCATACCTATAACATTAACTATGTTTTGTACTACATGAACTGCTTTATATGGTAAACATCCTACAGAGTTTATTATTTTTATAACCAACTCGTACTTACTTTAATGATAACTAACATTCAGACCTTGACTGGGTCGATTGTCAGCGACCAGGTAGCTCAATTGATAGAGCGTCCGTCTAGAGATGTGAGGGCATTGGGTTCGAACTCCGATCTGGCCGTGCATTTTACCAAGTCCTGTTACAAAGTTGGCGATATTGCCAACCCTTATTTCAAGCACTGGGTGAATGCTTAGTAAGGGGATATCCGAACCTTAGGTGTAAATTGTTGTGTCTTTGGGGGGAAGACTTAAAATAGGAGGGAGGAATGGAGCGAAACTGGACTGGGTCGGTTGTCGGCGACCAGGTAGCTCATTTGGTAGAGCGTCCGTCTTGCTGTGCATTACACACCTAATTTAATAAAGGTATACATTAACTATGATTCCACTCATTGTTACCATTTTTGAAAGAAGGAAATATAAATACCCTTCTTTATAATGATATACAGAATCGAAGTCAGTTGATTATGGTGGTTGGGGAGGTCCCCACCTTTAACCGTCTACCGAACTCCATCCGATCACTAAACACCATATAATAGGAAAATAAGTATCACCATTAGGGGGGGGGGGGGGGGGGGGTGCATTTTTATCGAAAGTTGGTATAGACCGCTGTCTGAATGATGTGTCTACAATGCCAATGGTCTTTCTTCGTCGCCGTTTTTGAAGACTGAGGTAATATTAGCTTTTTCCAGTATACAGATGGGATTCCTTCCTTTATACTTCTCTGAGGAAAAACTAGTAAGCGTGTTTTAAATGGCATCTACCGTAACAAAAACATTTTAGGGTGAAGTTCGCTTTGACCTTTGACCAGGAGTCTAGTTAGGATTTTTAACATCTTGATAGATTTTCCATATGGTCTTTATTCATCTCTTTGTCCGAAGTGTTTTTTTTCAAATTATAATGTCAGTGATTTCTCCGTCGAGTGCGGTAAACCTCTATTTGACTTTTTGGCTCTGTTAACTTTACTATTGGTTTTGTTTTATCTCCTGAAGAATGTGGGTTTATCCTTAATGTTTATATAAGCACCATAAGGCAGAAGATTCATTAACTAACGATAGGACTATTGTCATTAAGGAAGTCGACGATTTTGACGCAGTGGTTAATTTTGACAACGATTTGTATTGCGACAATGACCAGAAATGATATTTGGGCTTACTGTGATATGGACGAAGTGCTTGATAATCTTGTTCATCAAAATTGCGACGATTAAATAAATAATATTTAACAGACTCTGAAAATAACACGTGTTTCTTTTGTTCTTACGTAATTGATGTAGAATTCATTACCCAAGAATTTGAAATTCAGCATGTGGTTTTCATGGTGTCACACACCGTTTGAATCATTGTTAAGATTTAGTTTCTTTAGGTCACCTGAGACAAAGTCTCAAGTGACCTAAATTAATCGGAATTAATTTAAACTTGGTAAGCATTATCAGCATTGGATAGAAGTTTGATGGTATGCACATATCAGCCCTGACTGACCCCCAGGGGCTGATAGTTGGGGCCAAAAAGGGTTGAATTGACTGAAATTTCAAAAATCTTCTTCTCAAGACCAAGATATGGTAGAATCAAATACTCTTCATAGATGGAAGGGTCTTAAGGTGCTTTACCACAATTGTGAATTTCATGACCCTGGGGTCTCACGTTCCCCTGGGGAGGGGGTAAACTTTACTATAGTTTAATTGTGAATTATATGTTTTCCAGCTCCCAGGAGCCTGAGGGGCGGGGCCAAAAAGGGTCAAGTTGACTAAAATTTCAAAAATCTTCTTCTAAAGTTCCAGATATGCAAAAATCAAATACTCTTCATAGATGGGAGGGTCTTGAGGTGCTTAACCATAATTCAGCTGACTGACAGAACCACTATTTGTACATAGTACATATACTACCCAGATCTTTCACACTACTTTTGCATTACATGTAGTTCAAGTTACCTTTGTTACAAAATGATTTCATTTTCATTTGGCAATATCGATAACATCAGCTTTTACATAAATAAGGTGACCGTTAAGGCCCATTGTCCTCTTGTTTAATTTTTTATTTTGGTTTTTAAGAAATTCAAAAGTATGGTTACGAAGCCTATCTTAATATTTAGTCAAATTCCAAAATCTTGGAGAAGCGCTTTTGCAAAATTCAGTTGTGGAGTGGCGCCGTTACGCTTTGAGACGGGCCGGTATCAGAATATTAGCCGGAATGAGCGTGTATGCTTTTGTTGGGCGACAGTGGTAGAGGATGGAGAACACGCCCTGTATCTGTCCACTACACAGTGACCTACGACTTTTACTTTTTGGGGAAGCAGCAGCTTTAAATGAAAATTTCAGAAATATGAATAACTGTGACAAAAGGTGCTATTTCTTATCAAACAATGATACATGTAAACAAAACCTGTTTTAATATTTTAAGAAGGAGACATAATTTNAGAAAAAATAAGATTAATGACCGACTAAAAAAATAGCTGCTTTCACCCTTCACATGGCTCTTCAGGAATAAACCTGCAGGGCTCTGTGAAGGGTGAAAGCAGCTAGTTTTTTAGTCGGTCGTTAATCTTATTTTTTCAATATATATATATATTATAAAAAGAAAAATTCTCAACAACGAGTCTTTGGTACTTTCATCTCTTCTCAGAGATGAAAGTACTAAAGACTCGTTGTTGAGAATAAAACGAAAAGGGAAGGGTGCTTAAAAAAATACATTATAACATTACAAAATACAAAATGTCAAAGTTACATCAGGGATGACTTTGATTTCATATGAACTCATTTACAAAGGTCGATTTCTGAGGTCGGGTTCTAAAAAACATATAATTTCTTCCTGTGACTCTTTAAACGAACATTTATCGTTATTTTGATCTTGAAGTTATAAAATATTGGCTATGTAAATCAAGATTTAATAGGGAATTGATTTTAAATGCTTTGAGCATAATACTCGGGAGCGATGAATTTCAGTTTAACGACAAAATTTGTTAGCAAACCGAAGGTACTGCTATTGTTCTGGTTACTTGCGCCACACTAGCATTATAATGTTTAAAAGAATCATTTTATGGGGGAAATGGAAATCGTTAAGGACATCAATTTCTCTTCGTTTGAAAAATAAGTATTATATTTTCAAAATCTAGATATTTTTTTCCTAATTTGGCCACCCTAATCATATTCGATTTTAATATTCCTGACGTCGTTTTATTTTTGAAAGCTCGCAATTCATTTATTTGTGAAATACAAAGCATTGCTCTTGGAATAATTGATCAATCAACTTGCTATGAACGGACCATCTAAACATTGTCCAATCTCCTTTTAGGAATCAGAACATTTGTTTTTTGTTGTTTTCAATAGAATTGATATTCTCAAGAAACTGATTTTGTAACTTTGCTTGAATTTTCATTATTGTATTATCCATAGTCACATTTGGTGGACATTCATCTAGAGATACGAAGCCAGTTGAAGTTCTTTTTACAGGTTCATATCAAGATTAATCTCACACAAGTCGTTCTCTGTAACAAATTCCACCTACCTTTCCCAGACATTTGCTGAAATCATGACTACAATTATAAAAACGAAAAGACAACACTGCCATTTTAATGCATCACTGAATATTACATAGATTGTACATGACAGGGGAGGTAACTCCTGATTAAATTTGACAACTATCATAATCCACAAACATCTACACCTTGTTGAACGTACTCTAATGGTCGCATGCATTAACTGTTTCTCAGTCTCCGCCTACTATCATCCTTATTACACTGGAGCTTCGGTAATACATTACTGTCGCTCCCCGCACAAGTGACCGGATGAAACAGCAGGATCAATGGGTCAATTTTGTGTAGAAAAGGTCAATATTTCACTCATTAGTGGTGACTCGATTTACGGGTTTCGACTATATCTTTTTTTCGTCCTAATACGTCATCTGGTCAGTTGGTTACTGTCCAGGTGGACACCCCGCCGTAGTGTGTACGGCGTGATTGAAACCGACCAATGGCTGTCCAGAGTGAAGCACGGTCTCGCCAATACAGAACAGGTACCTGTAAGAAAAAACAACGTTACGGTCGTTGATGGGATATCTCACTACCATTACATATCTAGGTATTGCTCCTATATGTAAAAACAAAACTTTTACAAAAACGTAACCATAATAAAGTTAAACTTATCTAGTGTATACTAGTACTAATATTAATACCTTTACTCACAGAATAATTGATATATATATATGGAAATGTCTCCCACAAAATGTTATTTCAGCTCGTGACGTATTTTACTTTGAGAAAAGCTTGGACGAATTCTGGAAAGATTTTGAGTTGAAGTACGATGATACAGCGCCTTATATACAGGCTTATTTTATGTTTACCACCATGAATTTCTATCTAATAGAATCTAATATCTAATATCCTATCATATCCAAATACCCAGTCTCCTCTGACGAACCAATATATAACTTGACGTTAGAGGCTACATTATCGCAGCTACGTGTATACTAGTACGTGTAATCAGCGTGTAGGCTGGTAAGGAGTTGGATAATTCTGTTTCAGGGGGAGAACAAAAAAGAGGATACATTCTATATTTATAGAGGATGAAATAACATTTTAAACCAAGTTCTCTCATGCATGCAAACCTGTCCACGCATACTATATACATGTCTTCATTTAAACCACGCTTTGGCAAACATTCCTATCTAAACAGAAATAACCTGATTTTTGTAAATTCAGAATATTTGCATTGTTAATGAACTTCAGTGTAATTCTTAACATTTTCTTCAGATTGTTAAGTATGGATTGTAGAAATGTTATGTATCACAACCAGTAAGTGTTTATGTGTGACGTTTCGATGACCAGTACGGTACGCACCCTGTCACCTTCGTCAGACAAATGACCGTCACACGTAAACACTCACTGGTTATGATACATGACCTTTCTATAACTTAAATGTAAGCTGTTTCATATTCTTTTCTTTTCAAAACAGCTGGACCGGACTGTCTGATGACGTATTTAGTTTCGCCTTTACAGCTGGATAAGGTGAAGGCATTTTGTTAGTTTTCATACTCTACAGTTTCTCTGGATTTTTATTTATTTATTTTTTTGTACGGCTTCCGTCTTAAAAGGAGTACATAGAACCCTTATAGACATTTTTCAACAGTGCCGTTACACTCGCCCATAGCGGTGTAAATGCTTAAGTAGATTACAACATCCGTAATCCCGTAATCACTTCAACCAATAAGAGGCTTAGATCTAATAGACTCAATGCCAATTACCTATGAGGCTTAAATCTTACAGACTCCATGTCTAAATAACCTCTCTGTGACAGACTTATATGTAGAAGGACGGAATACGCTAGTAATAGGCAATTATTTTCTTTAAAAAATTGTTAATCCTCCTTCTTTTTTACCTTGCTTCCGTTTTGCCATCGGTCACCGTGATTCTGGAGAGTGATACGGCCCCGGTCCAGAAGTAAGACAGAATAGAACTGTGTTCCTGGAACTGTGCCTGCACGTTTAGTATGTTGCCAAGGTAATTTCTGGACACAACCATGACTTTGCGTTCTTGACCTTGTCGGAAACCGTCGTCTCTTCTGGTCTGTTGGTTGGTACTACCAGAGAAAGAACATTTAAAGATTGTTACTTTACAAAGCATCGTCATATCATAATCTGATGTTAGGAAATCATTTTTCATAGCATTGACTTAATAAAAGGCCTACTTACATCATGCTATTGAGTTTTGAACTGAAAAGAGATATTTTTCTATCAATCATGCCTAAAATGTTATTTACACCACAGCTCAGAATCCTGTTTTAAAAAATACAAACTTAAAACATACAAACAGAACCATCAGGAATTGCCTAACTTTGTATGGATTGATCAGGATTTGCCTACCTTGTATGGATTCACCAGGAATTGCCTACCTTTGTATGGATTCACCAGGATTTGCCTACCTTTGTATGGTTTCGTCAGTTATTGCCTGCCTTTTTATGGCTGTATCAGGATTTGCCTACCTTTGTATGGATTCATCAGGATTTGCCTACATTTGTATGGATTCATCAGGAATTGCCTACCTTGGTATGAATTCACCAGGATTTGCCTACCTTTGTATGGTTTCATCAGGATTTGCCTACATTCGTATGGTTTCATCGGGAATTGCCTACATGTGTATGGTTTCATCAGGAATTGCCTACCTTTGTATGATTGCCTATCTTTGTATAGTTTCATCAGTAAATGCCTACCTTTTTATTGCTTGATCAGGAATTGCCTACCTTTGTATGCATAAATCCTAAATTGCCTACCTTTGTATGGTTTCGTCAGTTATTGCCTGCCTTTTTATGTCTGTATCAGGAATTGCATACCTTTGTATGGTTTCATCAGTAAATGCCTACCTTTTTATGGCTTTATCAGGAATTGCCTACCTTTGTATGCATAAATCATAAATTGCATACCTTTGTATGGTTTCGTCAGTTATTGCCTGCCTTTTTATGGCTGTATCAGGAATTGCCTACTTTTGTATGGTTTCATCAGGAATTGCCTACATTTGTATGATTGCCTACCTTTGTATGGTTTTATCGGGAATTACCTACCTTTGAATGGATTCACCAGGATTTGCCTGCCTTTTTATGATTGCCTACCTTTGTATGGTTTCGTCAGTTTTTGCCTACATTTGTATGGATTTACCAGGAATTGCCTACCTTTGTATGGATTCATCAGGATTTGCCTACCTTTGTATGCATAAATCCTAAATTGCCTACCTTTGTATGGTTTCGTCAGTTATTGCATGCCTTTTTATGGCTGTATCAGGAATTGCCTACCTTTGTATGGTTTCATCAGGATTTGCCTACATTTGTATGATTGCTTACCTTTGTATGGTTTCATCAGTAAATGCCTACCTTTTTATGGCTTTATCAGGAATTGCCTACCTTTAAATGCATAAATCCTAAATTGCCTACCTTTGAATGGTGAACGTTTGGGAGAGCCCCGATGTTCCTAGTATCCTGAGGCGTAATTCTCCGTGGTCAGTTGACATGGTTGGTCCGAACTGGACGGTCACTTGGTAGTAGTTACCTACGGATGATACAATGATAAAATTATACATGTCACATAATTATATTTTTGGGAGACGTCCAATTATCAACGTCCTTTGACTCGGGTTCGTATACCAGATGAAAATCATTAAATGGATTATCTTCGTGAATGCGAAGTGTTGAAGGTAGGTATTGCAATATCAACAGGTATTGGATTTTGTTATCATTAAAGGGGCTGGTCGGGGAAAAAAATGTCATATTTGCTAAAATGGCATACACATGTTTAAAATACCTTCTTATGAAATATACCGATTCAAATTTTGCTGAAACTAACTCCCTAAGAGTAAAAAATATAATTATATCAAAGAAATCCTAAATCGTCACCTGACAGTCTATAACTCTCTATTGACCCAGATCAGTGATGTAATTTTACCGCAGGGGCTTCCCCGAGATTTCAGTGGTCAAAACTGGACATTGCAAGCAGTTCTCGACCATCATATTGCCGTGGTATAACCTTTGGAAGGCCAGAGAACGCATTTAGACCCATTTATTTTGTATTTTTTCCCCGACCAGCCCCTTTAAACCCGTGGCATAACAGACATACCAAGTGGTCAAGAAGCATTCGTATGATTGATACCACAGTTATAACCAATGTTATATAATACCATTTGATATTCAAGCAGAACCGCAGATCAGTGTGGAGCGTCAGACCACAGATCCGACAGCATTCGAAAAAAAACGAAAATACATACATCAGTATCTTGCAAGTAAAACATACCACAAAACTAGTGTAAGTCTAGTCTTTCTTTGTATTTGATAATATGAGGGGTTGACTGCGATTGTTGAACTTACCACAATAAGGTGGACTGTCTAATGTCGCAAGATAGAATTTGCCCCTTGCACGGAAACTAGCGGCACTGTACCCCATGCTTGGACATGGCTGGTTTCCACAGGAGAAACACCGCCCGACGACGAAGTCCTCGTAGCTATTACAGGGATGGCCCTTCAGGGTACAGGATCTCCCGTTGATGGACTCCGTAAACAGGTAGATCGACCGGTCGTGGCTGCAAGCTAGCATACCGCCAACAGCTTCAAAAGGAAAAAGGATAAAATGTTTAAGTTTGACCACATCATACCTGCACGCTGGTAAGAAAACAGCAACGAAAGGTATTTTAGTAGGGTTTTACCGCTCAATCCAAATTTGTTGATGTTGTGTGCATTACCGTACCCTTAGTTCTGTGTAACTGACCACGTCGATCACGTTTAAGGAGTGGACTACGGTAAGGGGACAAGACCGAAATAGGACCTGCCGCGGAGGAGTCTTATGGTTGAGAACGGCCTATACCTAGATTGAGGTGTGACCTTCTACATTGGCCTAGATTCAGGTGTGGTCTATTGTGGAGTCAATGTTGAGGGATGATCTTCTTTGATGCGATGTGGTCAATCTTTAGGTGTGACCTACATGATATGTCTTGCCAGCCTAGGTTGAGGCGCAGAAGATCAAAGTTCGATCAATATGGTCAAAGTATAGCGCATATATATACATAAGTCTACCGCGAACAAAATCAGCCGCGGTAAAGTGAATTATTAAATCCACCGCGAAATGCGTTTTGCTTGCGATTGGCAATATTTCTATTAAAGGCGCAAATTTCCGATTTTATTTAGAGAAGTTTGATCTCCTGTGCTTTAAGTTGGGCCTATCGCGGGCCAGGTGTGACCTACCGTGTGGGCCTAGTTCGAGATGTGACACAACGTTGGTCCAAGTCTCGTGTGTACATCCGGGCTGGTTACGCCCTCCATTTGGATAGAAGTCAATGTCACCACAGGGCGCCTTCATCCCGTAACCTGTAACCCGCATGTTATATATATATATTTCTCTTCATACAACGTTAAATATCTAATACCGTATCAAAATGTCGGTATACTTTCTTTCGTATACTCGAATTACATCATATCCTTGTCATATTCCTTTCACGTGACTAACTCAGCCATCTAGAATTACTTTAACATCGGGACACTATTTGAAGGAAACAAGATATTAAACCTACCGGAAATTGTATCGTATTCCGTTCCATCGGTGTGTATGACGTCAACAAAGTTAGCATCGGTAGCATCCAGACGCACTTCCGTTGGCGTGTCCTCAAAGTTGGGCTCGGCAGGATCGAGACCTATATATTGAAATAAGTATGAAATGAGGTTATTGTCCAAGGTTGTATTTTGCTAATTACACATTCACTGGCTTTTTTTCAGGACATCATCTTGCTGTATACATTTATTAAGTTAAAGGACGAAACGCTGGCGGGTTCAGAAGTGCATGTCGACTTATTTTGTTGATATTCAATGGACAATTGATCTGAATATTTAACAATATGAATATAGTTGCTTTTTGGGATAAGGCGAATTATGATTCACTTTGAACAAATGAAACCTGATTTCCAAAGTGTTCTAAAAAAAATAAGTCTCCATGTTCATATTTGCTCCGAAGATTTTCCGCTCTGTAATGTTAAATATCGACGATCCCCTCTCTTATATACAACTGTAAGGCTTGTCATAGCTATAATGCTTTCGATGTCTTGTTTGCTGACGTATAGATCCTGTAGACGTGTCCACAAGGTGACAAGATTAAACACTGTCCGAAAGGTTTTGAAATACATAACTTATATGTTTGTCTTAAACATTACTGAACACTTGATAACCTATTATCTTTACTTCGTTATATCCATTTCTGTCAAAATAATCCATTCATTACGTTCCTTGATATTCAATAGACAACTTGATTGAGTGACAAGCCTTACTCCAATTCTTCTTCTTCAGTCTGTCATTCGTGATATCATTAGCTTCAGTACCTATCGACCGCCCCGGTACCTGAAACTGAAATACCCGGTGCCCATTGTACTTAAATACCGTAGTTTCCAAAAATATTCCCATTTCCCCCCACATTTCGTCTTTATTTACTCTACCTACCTGTGATCCGCCCTAGACCCCTGACAATTTGTCCGACATAGCCACACACGTGGGCGCCGAGACTGTGACCAATCAGATGATACTGTGTGCTGGTGGTTCCTACAGCGGTGTTCAGGTAAGAGATCATGGCTGCTACTTCCGCCGCAACGACGCGGGTGTTTGCGACCGCCTGAGTGTAAGGGAACCCGGAACCATTGCCCCAGTCCACAATAATCACGTTCATCCTCTCCTACAGAGTAAAACCGTTAACCTGTGACATAATCCAACATGGCTGTAATATTAGTAGTTATATGGTGTGATATTGACTACAGAGAAACCAAAGAGACATCGGTTATGGCCTCGAGTAATTATCTACCTTCATAAATACCGCAGCATATTCACAAAATAAAATGTCTATATTTTAACGATATATCATATTCACAACCTTATACATATATGCCAAAACAGTTTATTCGCTTCGGGGAATTTGTCATTTCCAGTTGGCATTCATATTGGTTATGAATGCCAACTGAAAGCAGTTCAGAGCTGATACTAAAGTATGCAAATATGTAGCATTACCTTTCTTATGAGTTCGGACATCATGACATGAGCCCAAGTCACGTTGCCGTTCTGTGTGAAGCCGGGGATTATTATCTTGATGGGGAGACTGGATTCGAACCCGGACGTCCATAAGTTGTGTCTGTCATTGCGCACAAGCTGAAAAGGTGCGCTAGGGTTGCTTCTCTCGGAGAACAGAAGGAAGGCGGGTCGTATATGACTTGGAGATAGAGGCAGTGCCCCATCGGTGTTATTAAACGGGTAGTCGTTGGAGAAACAACCCAGGTCCCCGTAACAGAGGGACGAGCGCTTTGTGCGATCACTTCTCAAACTGGACGCAGTACAGAATCCTGAAAACCAAGAAACACACAACATGTATTTCACTTTGTGTATTTTGGACACTGGCAAATGTAGGAAGTGTTCACCAAACGTGATTGGTTTTTGTGAACATCATGTCATATCGACAACTACTATCCACCCTCGAAATCCAGTGGCATTGGCTCCGTTTACCACCACCACCACCACACACACACACACACACACACACTTATCGTTAGTATCCATTTTGATTTTGTTTTGTCTTCATTGATTATTATAGCTGCGCTATCTATTTAATGCTACTATATTTGGGTTTGTGGTAAATTGTGATCGTCGAAGTTCACTTTCGATATCTTACTCTGCAGAGTTCAATATACAAATTCCACTTTATATTTTGTATCCATTTTTATGAGTTGGTTATTAAAAAAATTTAAAAACATTTCTCCCATGCGAATTATAATACGATTTTCTTTTAATTATTTTACGCTTTATATCTGTAGAACAGCATAAAGCTAAAGCCAATCATTGCTCTTACAGATTAAGCACGAGGATATATATATATATATCCCAAACCAAATGCAAAGGCTGGGTCACTATACCCTATGTGAAGGGGACATCTGATGCATTTGCCTGGGTGATGAGGAAACACCATTTCAGCAACCCGATGAGACCACTGACAACCATCGGACAGTTACTGGTGCACCTCAAAGACAAGACTGACATTTTAGACAAACCAGGAGTTGTATATCAAATTCCATGCAAATTTGTCAGCAGTCATATATAGGTGAAACTTGGAGGAAATTTGGTACACGTCTGAAAGTACATCAAAAGGACGTAGAGAAAACGAGCAACAGTACAATAACCATTAACTGATCACGCTAACACCCAAACCCACATCGTCGATAGGGACAATAACAAGATAGTTGAAAGGGAACAATACAAAAAAACGAGACAAATAGAAGTAGCAATCAAAATCAGGAAAACTCATAACATGAACAGAGACGAGGGGGACACCAGCTGAGTCATCTGTATGAACCGATACCGACAAAACAGGGAAGGGGCTAGATCTACACCCTACCTGTAACATAGCTGATGCAGTGTGTATACGCTCCCTATCGATAGGCGAGACGTTTCGGATCGAGTGACATGAAAAATATGCATTTTCGTCACAATGTTGTACAGGTAAAAAAAAATACAAATCGCTCACTCAGTCATAGCTTTACAAAGGGGCCAGTCGGTCTTGAAATGTTGAAATGAGTAATCGAGTTTAAGATTTTACAGTTTTGTTATAGTCCTAATTATATATATGCATAGTAAATGATATCAAAATATACTTTTGTATGTTTTTTAGTACTTTTGCACAGGGGGCGCCACATCTTTACTGAAAGATACCAATTCAATAAATAAACTCTGAGAGATAAATAAAAAAAAATGATACGATAGATCGTTGCAGCCTCTTATAAACAGTGACACAACTGGTAATGTGGTCATATTTGATGCATTTCTCCGTGAATGACTAAATGAGGGTTTCCTGTCAGACCCTTAAATCTCGGGGTATCGAATGCTGAAACGTTACCAGAAGGCAATCAGTTTGGGTATATTGAGTCATTTAGGTTTATGTGCAAAAAGCTGGATTCATTTAGGTTTCCGTGAGAATATTACTTTAGACGGTACCGTATACTCTAAGTGAAATCGAAGATATCAGTTAAAAATAGATACCTTTGCGTTCGTCTGTTGTCATTTTTTGTTCCATGGACCGTGTCCTACAGTACTAAATTCGCCGTTATTGGTAAATGTGATTTTTCTTATTTATTTCATGAACAAGAATTTGAGTTTTAGCACAGCTTATGAATTTGAGCATAAGACCGATTTAATGAATAGCAGGCAACATTGTTTAAGTGTAGGATTGGACTTTGGAAAGTTTCCAAGATCGAAACCCTTAAGCTTTTGATTTTTTCTCTTTTGTTTTTTTTTTGAAAATTTGCTTTCAAATCAACCATTTTAGATAAACTATAGTTCTGTCTCATCCATGGCATAGTGTAATTTTTACGAAATATTTCTGTAAATAATGACTCCAATTTCCATAAGTATGGCAGTGGTAATAATATATAGATGTCGACCTTCTTATCTTAATATTGCTTGAAATGATGTTTTTTAAGAAAGACCTCATTTTAGAAAATGAAATGTGTGGTATATACTGGAAATCGCTGGCAAAACGAGAGATATTAATGGTAAAACCGTTCAGCCCCGCGCCTTGGTGTATTCGTCGACATCTTGAACTCATTATAACGTGTTCCTGTGAGCTATATGTAGCGCTAGCTACATCAACACGAGAAGTCTGGAGCTGGCTAGGATAACATGGTCTTCTGTCTGTTTGAAGTACAATTTATTCTGGTTATCAGGTTCGACATCTTTTATAAATTATAACGGCAATGGCTCGTACAGATCTGAGAACACGTGTGAGGATCCGATGTAGTTTTGAAGTGTTAGCAAAGGTCATATTTCATTACAAGTCCATGACGTGTGCACATTTCATTTTTTATCATATTGAAATTAAGAGCCTCTGATCAGAATTCTAATAAAAACTGCAACATATTATTACAAATTATTATTGTTGTTTTATGTTTAACTCGATATAATGTATGATGGTCATAAATAAAGACATTTTATCCTCGAACTATACTTCATAGCCTGCATAGAAGTACAAGACAAAACCCATATATTTAGTGTTAACAGGAGATGGTATCGCATTAAATCATCTTGAACATAATATGATCGTTTATATCTTAACACTTCTGTAGTCCTAAAAAGTACAATGTTTTCACACACGTACTTACCAAGCAGGAGATAACTCCCAAGCGCTAAGAGAACGGAGACCATCTTGCTTTATGGCAATTCTTTATTTTGGAACTGGTAAGGTAAACATTTGGTCATGAGTGTAGAGTCTGCGCCTGACCTATTGGTGCCCTAATTACGGGAACTGTGAAAACATCGTACCACTGCACGTGATTGAACCGACGCAATGCGCATGCGTTATATTGTTTTTACTAAAAATATCTTGGCACGGTCGTTTCAAAGTCAAATTAGCTATGCTATTTGAACGTCATTAGGTTGTTAATGATATTCCCATTTAAGCTGGGTTTTGTAGTTCACTGCCATTTAATTATCTATTTCTGAGATATATTATTACTTTACTCGAACGATTTCCAAAATGATGTTCCCGTAAGAGTAGACTTTAAAAGCTTCCTGCAAATACGATATCCATGAAATTCCACGTCTGAATGAGGTCCTTATCATTTATATCCCTAACAGCTGAACAGCATCCATGATACGCACACTATGTGTACATAGAAGCGGACGAGATAATAACAAAATAATTAAATTAACCGAATTCAGTACTTGACTACTGCTCATGTCTTGCAGTCTGGTAGAGGAATTATTGGAAATATTTTAAGCTGTTGTAATTTAAGCAGATTGAAAATTTACCTAACTTGAAATCCTTGTAATGAAAAAGCATGCAAATTAATTGTCAAATGATTAAAAAGATAACTTACAATTTCGATGCATCATGCGGCTGAAATGCTCACATGGTATTTATTATTTGTAATTAACAGGATCTCGAGAGAATTCAGACGGATATTCCAACTATAACATAATTTTGTCAAATTATTTGGCCTAATCCATTTAAAATTAATAACTACGTTTCAATATATACATCATATTTCAAACACATGAACTGTTTAGTCCATTAATCACCTGACTAAATTTGTATTTGTTCAGTAATTACATTCATATGATGCCCCGACAAGTCACTTTAGGTCGCTCATCACCCAAAAACCACACCAACTTGTGTCTGACCGGGGCGGGGCGCTCATCATACCTAATCCACATCAACATATGTGTCTAACAGCCCCGCTCATCATCCTAAATCAACATGTGCCTGACCGCCCCGCTAATCATCCCAAACCCACATCTACTTGTGCCTGACCGCCCCACTCATCATCCCAAATCAACATCTACTTGTGCCTGACCACCCCACTCATCATCCCAAATCCACATCACCATGTGTCTGACCGACCCGCTCATCATCCCAAATCCACATCGATATGTGTCTGACCGCCCCGCTAATCATCCCAAACTTACATCTACTTGTGCCTGACCGCCCCGCTAATCATCCCAAATCCACATCAACATGTGTCTGACCGCCCCACTCATCATCCTAAATCCACATCTACTTGTGTCTGACCGCCCCACTCATCATCCCAAATCCACATCAACATGTGTCTGACCGCCCCACTCATCATCCTAAATCCACGTCTACTTGTGTCTGAGCGCCCCACTCATCATCCCAAATCCACATCTACGTGTGCCTGACCGCCCCGCTCATCATTCCAAATCCACATCTACTTGTGTCTATCCCCACTCATCATACCAAATCCCCACCAACATGTGACTGACCTCCGAGCTCACCATCCTAAACTCACATCAACACGTGTCTGACCGCCAAGCTCATCATCCCAAATCCACATCAACACGTGACTGACCGCCCAGCTCATCATCCCAAATCCACATCAACGCGTGTCTGACCTCCCAGCTCACCATCCTAAAGCCACATCAACACGTGTTTGACCGCCCAGCTCACCATCCTAAACCCACCTCACCATGTGTCTTACCGACCCGCTCATCATCCCAAATCCACATCAACATGTGTCTGACCGCCCCACTCATCATCCCAAATCCACATCAACATGTGTCTGACCGACACGCTCAACATCCCAACTCAACATCAACATGTGTCTGACCGCCCCACTCATCATCCCAAATCCACATCAACATGTGTCTGACCGCCCCACTCATCATCCCAAATCCACATCTACTTGTGTCTGAGCGCCCCACTTATCATCCCAAATCCACATCTACTTGTGTCTGAGCGCCCCACTCATCATCCCAAATCCACATTTACTTGTGTCTGACCGCCCCACTCAACATCCTAAATCCACATCAACACGTGTCTGACCTCCCCACTCATCATCCAAAATTCACATCAACACGTGTCTGACCGCCCAGCTCACCATCCTAAATCCACATCAACACGTGTCTGACAGCCCAGCTCATCATCCCAAACCCACATCAACACGTGTCTGACCTCCGAGCTCATAATCCTAAACCCACATCAACACGTGTCTGGCCTCCGAGCTCACCATCCTTAACCCACATCAACACGTGTCTGACCTCCCCACTCATCATCCCAAATCCACATCAACACGTGACTGACCGCCCAGCTCATCATCCCAAACCCACATCAACACGTGTCTGAACTCCCCACTCATCATCCCAAATCGACATCAACTCGTGTCTGACCGCCCAGCTCACCATCCTAAACCCACCTCACCATGTGTCTTACCGACCCGCTCATCATCCCAAATCCACATTTACTTGTGTCTGACCGCCCCTCACAACATCCTAAATCCACATCAACCCGTGTCTGACCTCCGAGCTCACAATCCTAAACCCACATCAACACGTGACTGACCGCCCAGCTCATCATCCCAAATCCACATTTACTTGTGTCTGACCGCCCCACTCAACATCCTAAATCCACATCAACCCGTGTCTGACCTCCGAGCTCATAATCCTAAATCCACATCAACATGTGTCTGATTGCTTCGCTCACAATCCTAAATCAACATCAACATGTGTCTGATTGCCTCGCTCACAATCCTTAGTCCGCATCAACATGTGTCTGACGTCCAAGCTCATCATCCTAAATCCACATCAACATATGTGTCTGACTTCTCTGCTCCTCCTTTAATCCTCAACAAAATGCGTATGACCGCCCACCTCATCTTCCCAAATCCACATCAACATCCATGCACATCAACATGTGTCTGACTGCCCCGGGCGCTCATCATCCTTACTCCACATCAACATGTGTCTGATTGCCCCGGGCGCTCATCATCCATACTCCACATCAACATGTGTCTGATTGCCCCGGGCGCTCATCATCCTTACTCCACATCAACATGTGTCTGACTGCCCCGGGCGCTCATCATCCTTACTCCACATCAACATGTGCCTGACTGCCCCGGGCGCTCATCATCCTTACTCCACATCAACATGTGCCTGACTGCCCCGGGCGCTCATCATCCTTACTCCACATCAACATGTGCCTGACTGCCCCGGGCGCTCACCATCATTACTCCACATCAACATGTGTCTGCAAATCAGCTTGTGTCTGATCGCCCAGCTCATCGTATTTTGTTTTATATCTCCCTGACTTAATAAACTCTCTCTCTCATTTTTGGATTTTGGTAATGTCAACGGGGACCCGAGAATTAAGACACGTTTGTTTTGAAATATTTTAATTCATATATCAGGCCTTTCCTGGTATGAGGAGAGTATCATTAGACTTTTAGCGGTTTATATTAACTAACATCCATTTTGCCATTCTACAGAAGTATTGCAAAGGGCCTGAGAATTAAACACAATAGTTAAATACATGTTTGGATATCTAAAAGAGGGCATCGTCTACATTACTTTCCATTTGCGTGGCACTAATTTAACTGCATTATTGTTAAACCCTAAAATGTCTAATAATACTACACAAATGCTTCGACATGCATACCTTAATTCTCTGGTCATTGTGAACGATCCGGGCTAACTTCATTCTGACTATGTGTATTAGTACTTAACTTGTAATTTTGTAACGTTACATAATACACGGAGTAGTTATAGAAGATCTGCCGTGGGCACATAGGCCTAGATAGTGTGCAGTTCCATATTTTAATTCAAAATCTACACATATTGTCCGATTTCATCGGATCGAATATATATTACGCAGTCAAAAAAATGTTGAGATAAATAATGCGGTCGTCCTAGGTTTTCCCCAAAGTGTTGCAACGGGATTATTCCAAACACCTGTACGTGATATTGCATAGTTGGGAGTCGTGGCGCCCAGCTGTCTCGTAATTATCTCCCCTGTTTGGTTCGCAGGTGTCCACAAGGTGGCGAATGGCACGAAAAATGGCGGAAGACATCGAGAAAACTGTGCCACTGTTGATAATATTTGGGATTTTGTGTGCTTTCTGCTCAGGTAAACTCACTTTATGTACTTTCATTGAATGGTATTTACATAGTTGCATAAATGTATATCTTACATATTTTCATGATGGTGTAGATTAAGGTTTAAACTTAGATTTTAACTCAGGTAGACTGTAATGTTTACGACTGACTCATTGCGATACTTGGAACGAGAACGGTTTTTTTCCTGTTAATGTTACTACTGTATACTTTTGTAGTCTACTGTCGGGAAAACCATGTTGTGTTTATTTGTGATAATACAAACGACAAGCAGGTGTGCCAACAGCGCTGCCAAAATAAGTTCCATATCTTAGTCGCTCGTCTTACTGCCTAACATTCAATGGAATAGAGTCGCTTAATGAAGAAAAATCATTTTATTTGTTGTCTTCATGTTTTTTATGATACAAGGGGTATTTTTGTATATGCAGATTTTTTGAGTTATACTGAAAGTCAGACTCCTGTGCTTAAACCTTTTTATTTGTAAAGTATGGGCTGGCCGAGGGGTGACACAGTTCATTTAAAATGATGTCACAGAGATGAACAGTACTGTTCTAAATACTGCCTATGTATATAGTATGTTGTACTATAAATAATCATCAAATGTACGACACAATAACAGTCAAGCAAACACTTCTCCGATTATTGACAGAGAAATTCAAAAGGTAAGGGTCAAAATCATTTTTGAGTCATGATCCGATCTATACATTTGAAGGTATAGTGTATATGTAGATGACCATAATTATTACCCGTTTACAGTTTTCAATGATTTCACAGAGTTTATCTGAAAAAAATGCTATGCCGGTGCCATTCTCCTTTACATTACCAAGCTGCATCAGAAAACCATACTTCTGGAGAAAGATAAACTTGTGATAATACCTTACGGTTCCAGGTTGTTTCGCCCAAAATCCCATTCGCCCTAGCTAGGTTGATTCGTGCTTGGTTGTTTCGCCCTAAAACACAAAAATATGGCGAAACATTGTTTGGTATTTTCTTTCAATTTTAGTAGTTTAAGTCACAAATTAAGTCTTTCTTTGTCTTCCATTAAATTACGATAAATTTTGTAAAAAGAAATGTGTTTGTCTTGTTTTTAAGCGAGTGTGACAAACGGCAGCTGTGAAAAGCTGACTCCGCACTCACACAGTTTTTTCTACATGAAATATATCTAACAACAATATGGAAAGTTATCAATTAAGTGTCCTTGATATATTTAAATATTAATGTTTATATTAGCGTATAAATTAACAAAATATTTTTAAGGCGAAACAACCTAGGGCAAACAGGATTTAGGGTAAAACAACCTGTTACCCTACCTTACAAACCAATACCCAGATAAAAATGGAAAAGAAACAAAATGATCATGAAATTCAGAAAAAAAAAGTTTCCTTCAGTTCAATTAATTAAGCTATATACTAGCAATACAAAATAACTTCAGAATTATTCAAAAAGAGATGTGGAAACGCATGAAACTTAACAAAATGGATGTTAAATGTTAATTGACAAAAGCAATTTTTGAGACACATTTACACTGTATATTTGAGTCAAAGACTTGTGCTTTTCCTGTGTATGTGGGCCGGGACTCCATAAGAGAGCATTTGACTCATCGACATATTGTGAAAATGATGGTCAGGACCTACCTGAAGAAGTCTTGCAAAAGTCACTGTGATATACATGCATCTTATTATAATCCACATGTTATTATAGCACACATGAACACTATCTGTTTTTGGTCATGATCACAATGAAATGACCAAATTAAAGTCAAGAGTAATTGATTAATGCATAATTTTCCTACATTTAAACTGATGTGCCAAGTTATTTGTCTGCTAATATAGTATTGGGAAAAGGTCTAAAACAAATATATCATTATAGGAAGTAGAAAATTAAAAACAGGTTTAAAAAAAAAATGCTTTAGGTTGATACATAAAACTGACTACATTTCTAATGGATTTATATATTTACCTGTAAAGCACACTGAATTCTTGCATTGATCTTAATTAGACACAGTCATATTGTTAGAATTCAGAGCACATGGTGAAATAATCAAAAATATACAAGAAGTAAAACTCATATAAATTGAATCCCCTCATAACTCAAACGTAATCTTCATATAATGATAGTCTTTGTTATTCTCAAAGAAATGTTATACTGTATTATTACTGATGTTAAAATTGGTTAATTTCTAAACATACTGGTAATTCAGCTGATAAGGTAAAACAAAAAGAGATACAACAGCCCATTCCTTTATAACTTTGGGAAATATAGCATCATTTGTACTGGAATTGGGAATATATTCCTCGGTTTTGGGTCATTTTGGGAAAATAAGGCACCTTTTAGCAATGGGAAACCACCTGTATTCGGCTGTAAAACTGAGCAAACAAATCACTGATAGAGATAAGGTTGTTTAGATTTGTGTTAGTTCAGATTTGTTCAAGTGACAGAGCCGAACTTGAGCCACTCAATTACCAGTTGTTATTCTCTTATTTTCCCATTTTACTGTCAATAATGAGAGTTACTGTGAAACTAGAGTAAAGTATCCAGTTGATGGATGAGCCACATTGATTATTCGTTATAACACCATGTACAGAGACTCATTGGAGTCAGTCTGTCCTGTTGATCATATATAATTGTGTGTGTCAATCAATACATATCTGATCATAATGACACTACAGACCTGTAAATGATGAAGTATAATACTGCAAAATACTCTCATAGCCAGTTGTATGGAATTTAAAACAAAATGTATTATAGAGGTACATATATATATATGCATGTACATGTACACATACATGTAGTAAATCAGGGGAAAGGTACATAATGTTAACTTGCTATATTTTCTATGTACATGTACATGTATATACTGTACTCCGTAAATATATACCCAGAACTAGGTTGAAGTGTTTTATTTACACTCTACATATACATGCATGTTTGCTCCCAAGCTGTATAGGATTTTGTTAGGGTTAGTTAGGGGTCTTATACAGGCCCCTTTCCATAAGATAAACTGATATAGAAAAATTCTGCTTTCTTTTCCCAAATTCAATGCAAAAATCACTTTATTTTGTGTTAATTTTCCGAAAGTCGCATGGGACAGGCCCCTAGGCATGTTGAAAGGAATTGTTTATGATGATCTATATCAATTCTCATGTATAAAATCTTAAATATTATTGATCTACTTACTGAAGATCTTGTAAATTATATATGCATGTTGTTTACTCAAAATTTACGTGCTTTATTGGGTATCAATTTGAGTAAATTATCAGATAACGTTCTTTCAAGCTGAAAAATCACTGACAAAACACATGTACAGCGAAAAAGTATCTGGTAATTATACATGTACATTGTATGAGAACTATATATTAAAATAAATGTGATCACAGCAGTCTGTTGTCACACATGCACATTGTATATATATGCATGGTATGTACATGTACATGGACTGTATACAGGAACGTCTGAATCAATGGAGATTTTTAAAATAAATATATTTAACCCTCATTTTTTTACATTTTTGTGGTTTCGTTGACCCACGTCTTTCCTGTTGTCTGGTTTCGTCTGTTTTTAGAGAGTAATTTACAGTTTTTCATTTAACACTAAAATTCTGTACATGATGACGACATTCATGTACTACATGTACAACCCGTCCATGTGGAACAATGATCACAAGCTATGTTATAATCATTCAAGTAACATGAATGGCTAGATATGCCATCACACAACTTCAATCCAATTTACTGATGGAATGTTTTGTCATTTTGTAGCCATTTTTCCACCAATCATCATTTGAACTTGTTGCTTTAACCATTAAAACACAATTCTAAAATGTTGTATCTTTTATTCACATCACAAAAGAAATTTAAATGATTTGGGTAGATTTAATGGCTTTTTTTCATGCTTTTACATTGTTCAATTCCCATGGTACTTTATAACATTAGGTCGGAAAATCAATCAAAGGATCATAAATAAAAAATACATCACATAAAAAATCTGATATGAAATAATCAGATTAACACTTAAATGGCAAAAAGATGGGCTCGATCACATGAAAATGTTCATGCAGGCTAACTTTGGTAATATCATATAATTATATAGAGTTTATGATGGCCAGCTGTTAGATGAAAAGCTGACACATATTTCAGTTAGTGTGTTTCCTCTGAACAGAAGTTGTCGGTGACTCATGTAACAATTTAAATGTATGCCGGTATTATATATGTCTGTTCTGGGTGAACTTGTTAGCTGTAATTTAGCAATTTTCGTGTTAGTGTATAGGATTGCGAGTTCACATAAAGTACGTGTGTAATAGGATAGCTAGTCCCTCGTCTCACTCCCTCCATTTGGCCTGTCAGAATTGGTTAACAAAGCATATGAAATACAATGTTATAATCCACAGATGTTCATTCCTTCCTGACATGCACACACAAAACCTCTTAGTTAAGATCTAGAAGATTCATTTTAATTTGATTCTCACCTGCCATTTTCCAATTTAGCACACCATTTTCTTCCCTGTATTAGCCTAGACCTTGATAACCATAACATGCTATGCCACTTTAAAAATTTACCTTGTGAATATAAAAAATGTGGAAACATGTTTTTTGCATCTGACTATGGTATATCATTTCTATATACCTATAGCTATCAGTCTATGTCGACATGTATGTACAACTCCATTAGCCTGGCGGTCTGCGCTTGTACATTTTATGTCGGCGCTCTAGATGTTTTAAATTTTTACTATGAAAATAAATATATATGTCAAGCTATTAAAAATTTTCAAAATTTGCCTGCGAGCAAATTCACAAAAATGAAATTGCACACTCTAGTGCCTTTATGATGTTGTTAGACATTTTAGTGTAAATTCTGTTTAGTGAACCCAGAATTCTTCATTTAGGGAGTCAAAGAACAGTCTATACAGTGTATGTTTGCTAGCTGGTAGAATGATTGATGTGTAAATGGAAAGCTGATTAAAATAGTGACCTGTAAATTTACTGATAGAAGGAATTACATGTAGTTTAGCTGATTTAAGGAGTAAAAAGTGAATATGCCTTAAATCCTAATTTCAAATTTTAATTCCTTTTTAGTGTGTAAATTAAGTGATCTGATCATGAAGAGTCAGTGAGATTGAGTGATGTGTAAATTTATAAGCTTATAATGGAAGGAGTGACATGTGAATTTACATATCTAGTTAAGGAGTTAGGTGTGAATTAGACTGATGATCAAAGTATACGTAGCGATATGTATTTTGAATCAGCTGGTTTATTATGAAATTATATAGATTACCTGTGATAGAAAGGATGACATATAAATAAGCTGATTTGAAGAGATGACATGTAAATTTTGAATTAGCCGAAGATGCAACACAATCAATATATTTTTACCATAACTGTAAATGTTATTAATTTACCAATTTCTTGGTTCATTCCGGATCCAAAGCCCTTGAAAAATCCATAAAGAAGTTTGTCTTGTAACTTCTTAATGCTTGTCTGGTTTGTAAAACAAGCAGTGCTGCAGAGATTCTTATTCATACTTGTAGTCCAGAAATTATACATTATATTTTATTTTATTTTATGATAAATGAGTCTTATAAACTTCTCATCTAACTGCGCGATTCACACCTGGCTAACATTTCCCTATGTGTGTGTGCCTGCGCGTGTACATGCTGGAGATGTATATGTATTGTAAATGTGTTCTGTTTGTAGACATCCTCGATATCCAGGAGTTATGCTCACTTACTCTCTCTGCACCACTAGAATATGTCAAAGCAAAATTGAAGCCACAAAGACAGCTCTTTGGTTGGTCTCAGGTAACAAAACCTGACCAATGGCTAGGTTGATACCTGTCCTTAGAAGATTACAAAGGGACCACACCGACTTCAAAGTCAGTCAATTTTAACATTATGCCACCACAAGATTCTTTTGATGTATATCAAAGGATCAAACTAGTTTTCTTGTACATGTCTCATCAACAAGTTGGCACACACTGAGCCTTCAGTTTTGCAATGACATATTCCAGGGGTGCAGAGACGGTAAGTGAGCGTAACCCCTAGATATTGAGGATGGTTTGTAGTGGGACTGTGCTTCCAACGGTATCATTTATAGTGCCACCTCATATTTGATAAAATTACTGATGATCATGAATGGACTTAAATATACATAAGTTTTATGTTCCATTCAAACATTCTTTCCTGTGGAAAATCCCAAGTGAAGGAATTTCTTTCAGTGAGGGAATGTACATGAAACTGACGGCACCTACATGTATGCATACTATAATGTGACTCTATACCACATCAGAGATACAAGGTGTACAGTACACCAGTGTCAGATATGTCATCACACTTGTATATATATATATATATATTTCATGTGGTTCCCAGTCATCCCGGGAATGCTTCCATTGTGTTTTGTTACACCTATCATAATTTATCTATATAGTCACATGACTTGAGTCTGTTAATTTTGAAACACATATTACCAGAAATACTAAAATCCTTTTTAATAAGAAAAATATCAACTCCAGGCAACTGCATATTTGTGTTATTATTTTTAATTGATGATAAAATGTTTCATAATTAATAATTATAGTCCAGAGGTTCCATGTTATAGATCTGTACAGTTATATGCGTATTTGTGTGATTGAGAATCTAGTGCAAAATACAAAATGTTGTTTGCTTCATGATGCCCTCCCTTCCCTAATAGTATGATTAATTGTGCACTCTTCGGCAATTTTCAAGGAAGCACTATGAAATTGAGATAACTCTTCTACCTGGTAAATGAAGCATACAAAATAAAAATTATTACCTATATATAGCTAACTACCTTCCCAAAATTTTTCAGGTTTGTAATAGGAAAAAACATGTTATTTTTTTGGTCTAGTTTGAGGCAGAAAACAGGAAAAGTGACATGCAAATAACTAATTCTATACATCCTGATGACTTTAATTCTGGTTAAATCAGTTTCTGTGTTGTTGGAATGCCTCTTTAAATCATTATCATCATATCTTAATTATATAACTGTGTTATAGACTTGTTAGGTTGTGTGACTTTGACTTTACCTGTGTTATAGACTTGTTGGGTTGTGAGACTTTGACTTTACCTGTGGTATAGACTTGTTGAGTTGTGAGACTTTGACTTTACCTGTGGTATAGACTTGTTGGGTTGTGAGACTTTGACTTTACCTGTGGTATAGACTTGTTGGGTTGTGAGACTTTGACTTTACCTGTGTGATATAGACTTGTTAGGTTGTGAGTCTTTGACTTTACCTGTGTGATATAGACTTGTTAGGCTGTGATACTTTGACTTTACCTGTGTTATAGACTTGTTGGGCTGTGAGATTTTGACTTTACCTGTGGTATAGACTTGTTGGGTTGTGAGACTTTGACTTTACCTGTGTGATAGACTTGTTAGGTTGTGTGACTTTGACTTTATCTGTGTTATAGACTTGTTAGGTTGTGTGACTTTGACTTTACCTGTGTGATAGACTTGTTAGGTTGTGATACTTTGACTTAATCTGTTTTTATATGCCGTATACGTACTGCGTCGTCCGTCTTCCGTTCGTCAACTTTTTCTTTTGAAAGATGTACTGCTTCTGAAGAAATGGAGGACCTAGATTCATGATATTTGGCCAGTAGGTACCTGGGTTGGAGTGCTATAAAGTTTCCTCATTAAAAAGACCTAGACCTACATATACAGCCAAGGTCACTGGGGTAAAATACATTAAAAACTTCAAACAACAATATCCTAAGAACCATTTGGTCTAGAATCATGATACTGGGGTGAATTGGTCTTTTGTTTATTACAGTAATGAGGTCAAAGGTCAAATTTAAGTGCAAGTTGGGAGTCAAAGGTCAATGTGGGTTTAAAGCTTTAAAATTAAAATTTCAAGTTTCAAACAACAATATCTTCAGAACCGTTTAAGAGTATATGTTAAAATAAATATCTTGTGTTCTTGTTACCAAATTTGATCTTAAGTAACCTATATGTCAGTTTCATGTAACAAAAGAAACCGGTGAGTGATACAGGCCCTATGGGCCTCTTGTTTAGACTTCATAACAAGTTATTTTCATTCATGTAGCTCATTCACCTCTGAAAACACATTTGATTTTTTCCAATTCAAAAGATGGAATAGTCCATTAAAACAATTCAGGGATGAATAAGTTAAAATACAAAAGGTGCATACAGGTTTTGCTTGAATACAGAATGTATACCTGCATTGCTGTACATGTACCAGTATAAAAGACATTGGTTTTCTCCGGGTGCTCCAGTTTCTTTCCACATCAACAACCCCAGCACATTAACATGCGACCAACCAGACTGATTAACAGATTTAAATAACTTGTTTCATAATTGTTGTAAAATTACTATAAGTTTATGTAATATACAGGACCCAGAAGATGAAACATAATGATTATTACTGGTTATTTGTGTTTCAGCGGATGACTGTGAGGATGGCCGGTTTGGATGGAAGTGCAGGTTCACATGTCGATGTAAAGATAATGCTGTGTGTGACAAAATAACAGGGGAGTGTCCTGATGGTTGTGAAGACAACTACTACGGCGCCAGCTGTCTGTTAGGTTTGTATTATAATGGTTGTCAGGACAACTACTACAGTGCTAGCTGTCTGTTAGGTTTGTATAATAATGGTTGTCAGGACTACTACGTTGTCAGGACTACTACAGTGCCAGCTGTCTCTTAGGTTTGTATGATAATGGCTGTCAGGACAACTACTACTAGCTGTCTGTTAGGTTCGTATAATAATGGTTGTGAGGACAACTACTACAGTGCTAGCTGTCTGTTAGGTGTGTATGATAATGGTTGTCAGGACAACTACAGTGCCAGCTGTCTGTAATGTTTGTATGATAATGGTTGTCAGGGACAATGGTTGTCAGGACAACTACTACAGTGCCAGCTTTCTGTTAGGTTGGTATAATAATGGTTGTCAGGACATCTACTACAGTGCTTGCTGTCTGTTAGGTTGGTATAATAATGGTTGTCAGGACATCTACTACAGTGCTTGCTGTCTGTTAGGTTTGTATGATAATGGCTGACAGGACAACTACTACAGTGCCAGCTGTCTGTTAGGTTTGTATGAAAATGGTTGTCAGGGCAACTACTACAGTGCTAGCTGTCTGTTAGGTGTGTATGATAATGGCTGTCAGGACAACTACCACAGTGCTAGCTGTCTGTTAGGTTTGCATGATGATGGTTGTCAGGACAACTACTACTGTGATAGCTGGCTGTTAGGGTTGTATGATAATGGTTGTCAGGACAACTACTACAGGGCTTGCTGTCTGTTAGGCTTGTGTGATAATGGCTGTCAGGACAACTACTACAGTGCTTGCTGTCTGTTAGGTTGGTATAATAATGGTTGTCAGGACATCTACTACAGTGCTTGCTGTCTGTTAGGTTTGTATGATGATGGCTGTCAGGACAACTACTACATTGCTAGTGTAAGGACAACTACTCCAGTGATAGCTGTCTGTGTATATATTTGTATGATGATTGTCAGGAAAACTACTACGGTGCCAGCTGTCTGTTAGGTTTGTATGATGATGGTTGTCAGGTTGTCAGGACAACTACTACAGTGCTTGGTGTCGGTAAGGTCTGTATGATAATGGTTGTCAGGACTACTACAGTGCTTGGTGTCTGTAAGGTCCGTATGATAATGGTTGTCAGGACAACTACAGCGCCAGCTGTCTGTTATGTTTGTATGATAATGGTTGTCAGGACATCTTCTACAGTGCTTGGTGTCTGTAAGGTCTGTATGTTAATGGTTGTCAGGACTACTACAGTGCTTGGTGTCTGTAAGGTCCGTATGATAATGGTTGTCAGGACAACTACAGTGTTTGCTGTCTGTTATGTTTGTATACTAATGGTTGTCAGGACAACTACTACAGTGCTTGGTGTCTGTAAGGTCCGTATGATAATGGTTGTCAGGACAACTACAGTGTTTGCTGTCTGTTATGTTTGTATACTAATGGTTGTCAGGACAACTACTACAGTGCTTGGTGTCTGTAAGGTCTGTATGTTAATGGTTGTCAGGACTACTACAGTGCTTGGTGTCTGTAAGGTATGTATGATAATGGTTGTCAGGACTACTACAGTGCTTGGTGTCTGTAAGGTCCGTATGATAATGGTTGTCAGGACAACTACAGTGCCAGCTGTCTGTTAGGTTTGTATGAAAATGGTTGTCAGGACAACTACTACAGTGCTTGCTGTCTGTTAGGTGTGGATGATAAAGGTTGTCAGGACAACTACTACAGTGCTAGCTGTCTGTTAGGTGTGTATGATAATGGTTGTCAGGACAACTACCACAGTGCTAGCTGTCTGTTAGGTTTGCATGATGATGGTTGTCAGGACAACTACTACGGTGCCAGCTGTCTGTTAGGTTTGTATGATGATGGTTGTCAGGTTGTCAGGACAACTACTACAGTGCTTGGTGTCTGTAAGGTCTGTATGTTAATGGTTGTCAGGACTACTACAGTGCTTGGTGTCTGTAAGGTCCGTATGATAATGGTTGTCAGGACAACTACAGCGCCAGCTGTCTGTTATGTTTGTATGATAATGGGTGTCAGGACAACTTCTACAGTGCTTGGTGTCTGTAAGGTCTGTATGATAATGGTTGTCAGGACAACTACAGTGGTTATTTGTGTTTCAGCGGATGACTGTGAGGATGGCCGGTTTGGATGGAAGTGCAGGTTCACATGTCGATGTAAAGATAATGCTGTGTGTGACAAAATAACAGGGGAGTGTCCTGATGGTTGTGAAGACAACTACTGCGGCGCCAGCTGTCTGTTAGGTTGGTATAATAATGGTTGTCAGGACATCTACTACAGTGCTTGCTGTCTGTTAGGTTTGTATTATAATGGTTGTGAGGACAACTACTACAGTGCCAGCTGTCTGTTATGTTAGTATGATAATGGTTTTCAGGACAACTACTACAGTGCTTGCTGTCTGTTAGGTTTGTATGATGATGGCTGTCAGGACAACTACTACATTGCTAGCTGTCTGTTAGGTTTGTATGATAATGGCTGTCAGGCCAACTACTACAGTGCCAGCTGTCTGTTAGGTTTGTATGATGATGGTTGTCAGGTTGTCAGGACAACTACTACAGTGCTTGGTGTCTGTAAGGTCTGTATGTTAATGGTTGTCAGGACTACTACAGTGCTTGGTGTCTGTAAGGTCCGTATGATAATGGTTGTCAGGACAACTACAGTGCCAGCTGTCTGTTATGTTTGTATGATAATGGTTGTCAGGACAACTTCTACAGTGCTTGGTGTCTGTAAGGTCTGTATGATAATGGTTGTCAGGACAACTACAGTGTTTGCTGTCTGTTATGTTTGTATACTAATGGTTGTCAGGACAACTACTACAGTGCTAGCTGTCTGTTAGGTTTGTATGTTAATGGTTGTCCTGACAACTACTACGTATTCAGTGCTAGCTGTCTGTTAGGTTTGTATGATGATGGTTGTCAAGACAACTACTACAGTGCTAGCTGTCTGTTAGGTTTGTATGATAATGGTTGTCAGGACAACTACAGTGTTTGCTGTCTGTTATGTTTGTATACTAATGGTTGTCAGGGCAACTACTACAGTGCTAGCTGTCTGTTACGTTTGTATGATAATGGCTGTCAGGACAACTACGGGGCTTGCTGTCTGTTAGGTTTGTATGATAATGGCTGTCAGGTCTGTTAGGTTTGTATAATAATGGCTGTCAGGACAACTGCTATGGTGCCAGCTGTCTGTGAATAGGTTTGTATACTAATGGCTGTCAGGACAACTACTACGGTGCTAGCTGTCTGTTAGGTTTGCATGATGATGGTTGTCAGGACAACTACTACAGTGCTAGCTGTCTGTTACGTTTGTATGATAATGGCTGTCAGGACAACTACTACGGTGCTTGCTGTCTGTGAATAGGTTTGTATAATAATGGCTGTCAGGACAACTACGGTGCTTGCTGTCTGTTAGGTTTGTATGATGATGGCTGTCAGGACGACTACTACGGTGCCAGCTGTCTGTTAGGTTGGTATGATGATGGTTGTCAGGACAACTACTACGGTGCCAGCTGTCTGTTAGGTTTGTATGATGATGGCTGTCAGGACGACTACTACGGTGCCAGCTGGCTGTTAGGTTGGTATGATGATGGTTGTCAGGACATCTACTACGGTGCCAGCTGTCTGTGAATAGGTTTGTATAATAATGGCTGTCAGGACAACTACTAGGGTGTCAGCTGTCTATTAGGTTTGGATGATAATGGCTGTCAGGACAACTGCTATGGTGCCAGCTGTCTGTGAATAGGTTTGTATAATAATGGTTGTCAGGACAACAACTACAGTACTTGGTGTCTGTAAGGTTTGAATGATGATGGTTGTCAGGACAACTACAGTGCTTGGTGTCTGTTAGGTTTGTATGATGATGGTTGTCAGGACAACTACAGTGCTTGGTGTCTGTTAGGTTTGTATGATAATGGCTGTCAGGACAACTACTAGGGTGTCAGCTGTCTGTTAGGTTTGTATGATAATGGCTGTCAGGACAACTACTACAGTGCTAGCTGTCTGTTAGGATTGAATGATATTGGTTGTCAGGACAACTACTATGGTGCCAGCTGTCTGTTAGGATTGAATGATGATGGTTGTCAGGACTACTACAGTGTTTGCTTTGTGTTAGGTTTGTATAATAATGGCTGTCAGGACAACTACTACATTGCTAGCTGTCTGTTAGGATTGAATGATGATGGTTGTCAGGACTACTACAGTGCTTGCTTTGTGTTAGGTTTGTATGATGATGGCTGTCAGGACAACTACTACATTGCTAGCTGTCTGTGAATAGGTTTGTATAATAATGGTTGTCAGGACAACTACTACAGTGCTTGCTGTCTGTTAGGTTTGTATGATAATGGCTGTCAGGACAACTACTACAGTGCTAGCTGTCTGTTAGGATTGAATGATGATGGTTGTCAGGACTACTACAGTGCTTGCTTTGTGTTAGGTTTGTATAATAATGGCTGTCAGGACAACTACTACAGTGCTAGCTGTCTGTTAGGATTGAATGATGATGGTTGTCAGGACTACTGCAGTGCTTGCTTTGTGTTAGGTTTGTATGATGATGGCTGTCAGGACAACTACTGCATTGCTAGCTGTCTGTGAATAGGTTTGTATAATAATGGTTATCAGGACAACTACTACAGTGCTTGGTGTCTGTAAGGTCTGTATGATAATGGTTGTCAGGACAACTACAGCGCCAGCTGTCTGTTATGTTTGTATAATAATGGTTGTCAGGACAACTACTACAGTGATAGCTGTCTATTAGGTTTGTATGATAATGGCTGTCAGGACAGTGCTTGCTGTCTGTTAGGTTTGTATGTTAATGGTTGTCCTGACAACTACTACAGTGCTAGCTGTCTGTTAGGTTTGTATGATAATGGTTGTCAGGACAACTACTACGATGCCAGCTGTCTGTTAGGTTTGTATGATGATGGTTGTCAGGACAACTACTACAGTCATAGCTGTCTATTAGGTTTGTATGATAATGGCTGTCAGGACAACTACTCTGATCGTTAGTCTGTTAGGTTTGTATGATAATGGCTGTCAGGACAACTACTACAGTGATAGCTGTCTGTTAGGATTGAATGATAATGGTTGTCAGGACAACTACTACAGTGCTAGCTGTCTATTAGGTTTGTATGATAATGGCTGTCAGGACAACTACTCTGATCGTTATTTGCATTATGTAATGTGACAGATACACATGTTTTGAAAAAGTTAAATTGATAATGTTAGCTACATGTAGCTTGTTGTTAACTTTATTTGAGTAAATTTGACCTTGACCTACTTTTGAAGCCGTTGGTTATAACATATGAATGCTAAAGGCCAATTTGGCCTACTGTTAATTGAAAAAGAATTGAGAGTATAAAAAAACACCTTGATATGTCAATGTGCACATTATAGGCTGATGTTATTAATTACAGAGAATGACTACAAGTACGACCCACACGGAGCCAATTACACGGGAACCAGGGATGCTGTCTTTAAAGACGGCACTATGCATACATGTCAGGACTGGAATAACTCTGTGGTCATGGGTTTTCTTGGAATTAATGGCAAAAACTTCCCTGATAAGGTATTGCCAGGTCCCTATTGTCGATATCCTATTGGCGAGTCGAAACTGAAAACCATCGCAGGTGTACCAAATGGTCCATGGTGTTTGTACGACATGGAAAGACTCCAGCTTGGTTCATGTGATATAACAAATAAAGGTAAGAACATGTGCAATACCAACCAAATTTGACTTCATTGATTGATTGATTGATTGATTGATTGAGTGGTTTTACATTCCCTTCACTACAATGTAGTTTGGTTATCCAGCAGACAAATGTGACTTCAGTATCCTTTTGTATTCGTACTCAGCATAAATTGGCACGCCATATGTACTGCATTTATTAAGTAGAACCTGGTAAAATCCAATTTAATGTAGATATACTACTGTAGTATAGGTTGAATAATGATCCAACCATCCGGTGGACACATCAATTTCCGAAATAATGAATAAATGTGGCCTGATTTTCTTTTTCAAATTTTAGACTTTTGATATAAAATTCTTCATTAAGGTAAGGATCTGTTCAATGAAAGTGATGTACTGCCTTTTGAATACAGAAGTAGGACACTGGTGTCTTATAGTTTACAAAGTAAATCTTATTATTATTAGCTCACCTGTGGCATCCGTCGTCTGTACATCAACAGTTTCTTCAAATGACTTCTTCTTAACCACTGATTGGAATTTAACTAAATTTGACTGGAAGCATCCCTAGGTGTTGGGGATTCAAAATTGTACAAATGGTAGGGCTGACCCCCCAGGGTGCTGAGGGGTGGGGCCAAAAGGGGTCAATTTGGCTATATTGCTATAAATGACTTCTCCTGTAGAACTGTGCAATGGATATCGATCATATTTTGTCAGAAGCATTCATGGGAGGCTGGGATTCAAAATTGTACAAATGGTGGGGCTGAGGGCCGGGGCGAAAAAGGGTTATTTGGCTATTTTGCTTTAAGCAACTTCTTCTCTACAACTTAATGATGGACATCAACCATATTTGACTGGAAACATCCCTAGGTGGTGGGGATTAAAAATTGTACAAATGATGGGGCTGAGGGATGGGGCCAATAGGGGTCAATTTGGCTATATTGCTTAAAGTGACTTCTTCTCTACAACTTAAAGATGGACATCACCCATATTTTACTGGAAGCATCCCTAGGTAGCTGGGTTCAAAATTGTACAAATGGTGGGGCTGACCCCCAAGGGGGCTGAGGGGTGGGGCCTAAAGGGGGCAATTTGGCTCAATTACTATAATGACTTCTGTAGAACTATGCACTGGATATCAATCATATTTAGTCAGAAGCATTAATGAGTGGCGGGGATTCAAAATTATACATATGCTTGGGCTGACCCCTAAGGGAGCTGAGGTACGTATGCCGGGGCCAAAAAGAGTTATTTGGCCATTTTGCTTTAAACGACTTCTTCTTTGGAACCTAGAGATGGATATCCACCATATTTGACTGGAAGCATTCCTAGGTAGCTGGGATTCACAATTGTACAAATGGTTGGGCTGAGCCGCCATGGGGCTGAGGGGTGGGGCGAAAAAGGGGCCATTTGGATAAATTGCTACAAATGACTTCTTCTGTAGATCTATGCGCTGGATATCAATCATATTTGGTTGGAAGCATTCATGGGAGGCTGGGATTCAAAAGTGTACAAATGGTGGGGCCAACTCCCCATCCCCCCAAAAGGTTTAGAATTAGGCCAAATAAAAAAATATGTGTGTTTCCTATTCCCTCGAAATTTGAATCCAGGTAGGTAGGTAGGCAAAACATTTTATTTTATCAAAACATTTTATTTCTTTTTCAAATGTTATACAACCGATTCAATGTCAATTGATCATGTACCAGGTGTGTCTATTTTCAGCATTTCAGAGGATGTATTTTTATTCTAAAGTACAAACATGCATAAGTATATAAAGCACCATTACTTTTAATATTATCATTTATTTGCAGCATTTTAAAGAATGTTTCCAAATTCAAAATTAGGTTCTTCCTTTCGCCATCAATAATTGAATGGCGTCGACAGCTTTTTCTGAGGATTCCGCAATTAAATCAAGGACAGAAACATTCTGTTTTGAGCATGAAAAAAGCAGTACTCGCATACCAAAACCCTTGGTGATATCACCGACGTTTAAATTTCCATCAACATCAAACAATTCAGTGTTTGCGGAACACTTTATGGCAGTTGTATAACCTTTTAGGTCTGTTGGGTTGTATGTCCCATAAACATCCAAAAGCGGGGTCTTGTTTGGAAACGACGCAAGGTGCTTCGTTTCCGCAATGTGATCATATTTCGCTAATTTGATGGCCAAAATGGAACTTTCTGTTCCGATGGCCGCCATGTTGCCTTCAAGGTCGAATCACGAAGACGTTTGACACGCACAATAGATGTGTGTCAAGTGCTTTATTGACGGCGTACCAAGTCAAAACCAAAAACAAATCGGACACATTCCGGAAAATTTACGTCAGACGAAAAATCGGCGAAAAAAACATTTCAGGTGGGGCACATTTTTCCAGGTAGGTCGGGGAACCGGAAACACACATATTATTTTATTTGGCCTTAGGGTCATATTTACGATAAGCCCATATTAATTATGTTACTGTTAGAAAGTATTATAAGTAATATAATTCTGTATGTTGGTCTATTTGTTTTTGTCCAGCTGCTTTCTCTTATAAATTGTCGATATTTCTGTGTCCAGATTGTGAGGTGGGGAGGTATGGTCCTAGCTGTTTGTATGAATGCCACTGTGCGGATGTCAAGGCCGACTGTAACAAGAAAACCGGGAAGTGTAACAGTGGCTGTCATCCGGGCTGGATGGGGGAGCCAGGATGTCAAACAAGTGAGTTTTTATACCCCTGCTTATAAAAAAAATCTGGGGATATAGAATTGGTATAGAACATCTCCTGCATGTAGGCATGAATATGTCCAAACAGTTTCTGGAACATTTCAGATATGCTATATCATGTAGGGTCATCATACTTGGTGGTCGAGTGGTGCAATGGATAGCACACGTGCCTTTCACCAAGGCGACCAGGGTTCGATTTCCTGATTGGACATGAAAACGTATGGGGTCACCTGCCCAACCACAGGTTTTCTCCGGGTACTTTGGTTTCCTCCCACAATAAAACTACCCTGCGCACTAACATCTGTGCCAACAAGAGTGATTAATATAATTTATAAAAAAATTGTTTCATAATTGTTGTTAAGTAAATAAAGTTTATATTATCATCAAACTTGGTACATATAGGGAGGCTGCAATATTCCCCAGACAACTGAGGATGTTCATGTGTCTCATCAGATCAGTCGACTGTCAAATATATGTGTCTGCATTTCCACAGAGTGTCCGTCTGACAAGTATGGTGTCATGTGTAGGGAGGACTGTGGCTATTGTAACAAGGGCTTGTGTGACTTTGAATCTGGAAGGTGTCTCGAGGGGTGTGAGGCTGGTTACCATGGTGACACATGTAAACAAGGTGAGTAATAAATAATCTATTGATTTTTAAACCAAAAAAATCAGAGATTTATGTTTAAAAAGAATTTGGACTGAAACATTCTTTCTCTCCTTCTCATAAGTTTCAGTGTGTGTAATGGTAATAATGATTTAAACACTCCAAATCTTAGGTAAATGTTGGTATAAATATCCATGCTTTAAAGATTCAAGGCTCTCTTTCAAATGTTAAAATTTGAACTATGAACTTATAATTATACATTGTGATTTTACATTTTTCATTGCTACAGAGTGTAGTCCTGGTACCTATGGTAAAAACTGTCTGAGTACTTGTGGTAGCTGTCTGGACGGTATGTTATGTGACAGATTCTCAGGCCAGTGTCCAAACGGTTGTTCAGAGGGATACCTAGGGATGTTCTGTCAGACAGGTAAGTAGACAGGGATACCTAGGGATGTTCTGTCAGACTGGTAAGTAGACAGGATTACCTAGGGATGTTCTGTCAGACAGGTAAGTAGACAGGGATACCAAGGGATGTTCTGTCAGACTGGTAAGTAGACTGAGATACCAAGAGATGTTCTGTCAGACAGGTAAGTAGACAGGGATACCAAGGGATGTTCTGTCAGACAGGTAAGTAGACAGGATTACCTAGGGATGTTCTGTCAGACTGGTAAGTAGACAGGATTACCTAGGGATGTTCTCTCAGACAGGTAAGTAGACAGGAATACCTAGGGATGTTCTCTCAGACTGGTAAGTAGACAGGGATACCTAGGGATGTTCTGTCAGACTGGTAAGTAGACAGGTAAATTGAGATGGACACCTAGAGGTGTATGTTTTGATAACCATCAGGTAAACCTTTTTTAAGTGTTTATTGTTTTAAACTTTTTTGCCAGTACATAACTTTCGACTTAGGATCATGTCACTTAATGTCATTTTACAGTTAATATCATGTTTTCTTTAAAAATCATTTGTCTGGCTATATCCTGGGTAACATATTATAATGTTATATCTATTAATATGTATTATTATTAGGTGATCTCTGCAATAATACTAGTTGAATGCCTTAATAAACATTGGTTAAATTATTTCAAGTTTTTAGAATTGTTATATTTGCTAAACCAGTTTGAATTTGTTTAGCTTGTAATGTAAAAAGTTATATTTTTGTTGCTTTTATCAATTATTCTGATGCATTTTTCTTACAGTTACATGTAACTTTAGGTAAATGATTTGAAACATTTAAAAAAAAACTGTACTATTTTTCTTTGTGCGTAGCTTGTACCGGTGGCAGTTATGGTATGAACTGCACAAGAACTTGCGGAAGGTGTAAAGACGAGACAAATTGTCACCACATCGACGGAAGATGTGGGCTGGGCTGCAGCCCTGGCTGGATCAGCTACCTCTGTGACCAGGGTATGTCTGCTTTGTTAACTGTTACAGTACATCAGTCTGTACAATGCTACTACAATTGTAGTATAAAGTAGCCCATCATGTACTAACACCCCTAGCATATAGAGGCAGTAGTTAACAGCATGTATACCAGAATATTTCAGCCCTGCCAAATTATTGCTCTCTGGCATTTTAAAACTAAACTAAATTTGTTATCTCATTCAGTGACAAAAACAGTGCAAAAGTGAAATTGTCCTGTATCTGTTTCAGCTTAAAAGTGGTTTGGAAATGTTCGTGTTGACAATGGTTCTGAAATCTATCTATTCCATGTATCTATAATCTGTATATAGTCTAAACAAATATTATTTGACTCACTGTGAAAAATGTGAGCATTTCCACTAGAGATGGGTTTGATGGTCAATTATAATCGAAAATCGATCGGTTTGCCCTCTCCGATTTCGATTATTGATTACAAATTCCATAATCGATATGATTGATTCATCATTAAAATAATTGTATTCAAATGTCTTCCGTGTAAATTATGCTTTAAAGGTTATTATATTCTTATGATTTATACTTTATGATCGATAAAAATGCAAAAATTTGCTTGATAACCATTAATTATAAAAGAACGAAACCTAATGTTTAGTGAACAACTCTGTCTAGTAATAGTAGTGCTCTCACTTTATTTTGGTGTTCTGTCTGAGTGCCATAAAACTATAAACCGATTATGCAATCGATCATCAACAGTTTACGTCATATGATTACAAACTGATGATCGATTACGATTTTAAACCGATTGCCCATCACTTATTTCCACACTGCAAGTATTTCCACTTGAACAGTAGCATGGAGACAAAAAAAAATGTTTCACAATGCTGTATTACCTATTGTCTGTGGAAAAAGAGCTCAAATCTCCTATGGTAATTAGGACTGGGTTGTCGGTAGGCACAGTGGATAGCGCACTTTCCTTTCACCAAGGCGATCGGAGGTGAAAAGGTACGGAGTCACCTGCCCGACCACGTAGGCTTTCTCCGGGTACTCCGGTTTACTTCCACATTAAGACCACCAACGCGCTAACATCCAGGCAAACAAGAGTGATTAATATAATTTGTTAAAACTTGTTCCATATTTGTTTTTTAGTATATCAAGCTTATATTAATTAGAACTTCATTATCTCTTGGCATTTCTGTTACTGTTCTGGATCTTATACAGTCAAATTTTATCTACAGTAAATCAGTATATTTTGTGAAATATTTTAATCAACATATTTATTTAGTCTGTATAGAATTTTCAGGCATAAAAGAAAATATGTTATTTGAGACTATAGTTTAAACCAGAAACAAAAACCAAAAGACATGTTAGCATTCAGAAAATACAATTCAATATCAATATAAACCATTCCAGGTTGTGACGAGGGCTTGTATGGTGTCAATTGTTCAAACACATGTGGCAGCTGTAAAGACGAAGAGCCTTGCGACATAGAGACCGGTGAATGTGTGGCAGGATGTGCCCCGGGATATACGGGCAGTATATGTGCCCAGGGTAAGACTGTTAGACACTGTTTATTGTACACCCTTACTTTTTCTAGAATGATACAAAGCAAATCAAACGCCTGTGTTCAATTATTAGTAGGTTTTGTATCTTCGCACAATTCATTATTCTTACAGAGTAGGTTTTGTAACTTCAGACAATTCATTATTCTAGTAGGTTTTGTATCTTCAGACAATTCATTATCTTATGGAGTAGGTTTTGTATCTTCACATATGCTCTATATAGGGAGATCTGTATGGAATCAGATCTGATCCCAGTTAAGGTTAGGGCTTATGGAATCATTGACATTATGACAGTGAAATTTTAACATGTGTTCCTATTGTTCTTGAGAACAATGATAAATGCAAATGAAGTATAATGCAATAAATCTCTATTTAGAAAGATTCTAAGAGACGGATCAGAAGTGGTCCCTTAATTAGTCTTTTCAAAGAGCATTGATTTATTAAAATTGACATATATTTACACTCCAAAAAGCATAGCCATATTTCATCAATTATAAGTGTCCCACCTTCTGACCCCATCTACCATATATCACGGCGATGAAAGTTTAAAGGAAAAAAGCCATTTTGTATAAGTCCCTTTAAGCACTGTCAATCCTACTGATGTCAGGGTATTTTCCAGTGATGCTCAACAATCCTGGAGCAAACAGTGGTGGTGGTGCAGCTGGGGGAGCAATCGCAGGAGCAATCATCTTTATACTAATCATCGCAGTGATAGTATTTGTGGTGTACAGGTGAGTGATGTGTCCCCACTGTAGTCTAATTGACATTGTTGATACCTTGATTTGATTTAATCGGTAGAAATTAAGTTTGAAATATTCAGTTCTCAAACAATTTCTTGGGTTTTTTTTTCTTGTTTTTTTTTTATTTATAGTTTTTTTTTCACAACAACATTTATGACATATTGTAGATAATGTAGTATATTTTGTGCAAGTCTCAAACGGAATGTACCAGTCACGTGACCAGCACATACCAGTCACGTGACCAGCACATACCAGTCACGTGACCAGCAGATACCAGTCACGTGACCAGCACATACCAGTCACGTGACAAGCACATACCAGTCACGTGACCAGCACATACCAGTCACGTGACCAGCACATACCAGTCCCACTGATTTCATGAAAGTGTTCATTAGTTGGTGTTAAGTTCATTCCCACAACAGCAAAAAAACTGTGCTTATCTATGTGGATACATGTAATTAGTTTTTTGGTTCCTTTCCATGTCTATAAATCAAGCATGGCCTGAATGAACTACAGTAGCTCACTAACTGTCTCGTTCCATGTTTCCACGTTGAAGGTCAAGGTCACTGCTACTATTTTTAGAAAAAACACTTTGTCATCACTCTAATGACTTCATTACTGAATGGAATTTCATGAAACTTCATACAAATGTTTTGTATGGTAATGCCTTGAACAAGTTCGCGTTTGGGGTTTCTATGTTGAAGGTCAAGGTCACTGTTACTCTTTTTAGAAAATCTTCCTCGTCGCTCTGGCGACTTCATTACCGAATGGAATTTCATGAAACTTGATACAAGTATTTGCCATGACAATACCTTCAACAGATTCGTGCAAAAGTATTTTTGCTGTCACATTTTGTATATGTCTCACAATGTGTGAATGAGAGAGGATTTGTATCACTTGTGAGATGCCTTGTTTTCTGTAGAAAAAGGAGATTTAGGAAGACATTGGAGGTACAACAGAAAAGTGACAAACCCAATAAGTTACCAATTGAAGAGGATCCAATAGAGAGTACACGGGAAACAGATCAGCTCATACGGGCTAATGGTACTAATGGTACGTTGATCAAACAATCTTGTATCAATTTATACAGATTTGTATTATGGAATCCGTTGAAAATCACAGAGTGGCTATTAATTAGTATTAACTTGTTGTACTTACTTGTTAATGTTAATTTAATGTTAATTATGAGTCCTTGAAAAAACCTTGAAAATGAGAGAAGTTAGTTGGGTATCCCTTTCTGTAAACATTCGCCCCAAACGATAATTATTTTAAACACAGATTGATCGTCAAATTGCAGATCGTAATTTTTAATAATTCTGGAAAATATATAGCGATGAAGTCGAGTAACACTACAAACAAATATATCTAGTAAAGTAACACTATATACCCAACAATCTCCAGTAAAGTAACACTATATACCCAACAATCTCCAGTAAAGTAACGCTACATAAGTGCTCTGTAAATATTCAAAATAGTCAAATTTTGTGTACACAGTAAACATATCTAAATTACTCTTATTTCCACAAATAACATATAATTATACCCCTGCAACGAAGTTAGGGGGGGAGGGTATACTGGAATCACCCTGTCTGTCTGTCTGTCTGTCTGTCTGTCGTCCGCAGTAACTTGTCTGGAAAACTCCCCCTTAATTAACAGGTGGATTTAATTGAAACTTTGCATGAATGATCAGTATCTTATGTAGTTGTGCACTGTCATTTTAATTTGGGATCTCAAATAAACATAACTTGGCAGAAGCGGGGGTATTAGTCAGCCATCCTGGCGACAGCTCTAGTTTTAAACTTACACAGTAGCTATCTATATACCTCTGAAGAAAGTGGTGTTACAGTACCCAGGTGGTTGGAGTTAAATGTACTGCATTTGTTGACAGGTGTTGCAAGTCTTGAGTCTGAACCATGCGATGAAGAACCGATCTATGCTAACGTCAATACACACAAACAGAGCATGCCTGTCAAAGTACAGGACCTGTACGACTACATCAAACTCAACAAGGCACAGGAATGTGATGGATTCAAGAAGGAGTTTTCTGTAAGGACTATGTCAAATTTGTCATATTGATGTCTTAATTGTAAAATCATATTGCAAACAATGATATTATTTTGATGTTACTTAACAATGTTCAATCAAATTATGTTGGATTAATTAAGCATATATAAGCAGTCGAAATTATATATTTTATCCCAGTGCCATAATGTGATGCTTTTTATATTTATGAAAGCTGAATATGAAAGAAAATAAAAAATCAATTGATGTTGGCTTAAGCATAGAAGCGAGTGGGAAATTTTATATTTATCCCAGTAATGTGATGCTTTGTTGATTTATGAAAGCTAAATATGAAGAAAATATTCTTTTATGAATGTATCTCTCCTGTGTTAATGAACAAAATTAAACGACATCAGTTACAATCAGGTTATGTCTTCGTATAGCTACTGCCTAGGTGTGTGGTGTAGCAAGCTTTCTTCGTCTGCCAAAACTTTTCCTTTTGAGGTATGAGACAGAAAATCTCAATCCTTGGAGTTAGATTCTTAAATACCCAGCAATAGGGAGCCACAGGCTTGTCATGTATAATCTTACCGTAAAAGTTGAGATTTTCTATCTTGCTCCCAAATTGAGGAATTATTTTATTATTCCACTTAATTTGGAATTCCCTATCTTTTAACACACAGATGTGTTTCATATAACACATAATAAATGTAGTCCTGATATAGTGGTTTTATAAGTCTTGCATATTTTTCACAGGAACTACCCCATGGCCTGATGGCTTTGTGTGAGGCAGCTAAGAAACCAGAAAATCGTCCAAAAAACAGATACGGCAACATTATCGCATGTAAGTGTCATGTTAAGGTTCTCGTAGATATTGGACAGGGAATGCCAATGAGAGTATAATGGTAAATACAAGATACAGGATATTTCCACAGGGGATGATATTTCCGCAATTTCACAGGTCAATAATGTGATCGCGATAAAAGATGAACTACAGAATGATATGACAAGCGTAAAAATGAGCTGCGATGATAAATATCAGAACTGTAATATTGTCATGAAAAGTAATATTCTGTGTTAATTTAGTTTTCTAATTTTGGGTCAATATAATGAATTCTAATTTTGGATCAATATAATAAAATTTTAAGCCAGCGTAAATAACCTGTTATACGGTACATATAATTACAACGAGACATTTAGTTGTACTATGTACAGTAGTGATGCATATATCAATTACCAATTTTTCGTATCAACCTTTCGTTGTTAATGGGAGGGAAACCACATGGCAAAATTGAAATAAGTCCTGAAAAAAGATACCACGATTTAAAACAAAATATTGCACGATAAATGAAATTTTAACAAAAAAGCAAGGTATTGAGATGTGAGAGACTTGAAATTGTACTTTGACACACATTTCAGACGACCACTCCAGAGTGATATTAGATCCTGGTGAGGAATATGCTGAAGAGGTTGGGGCAGATTACATCAATGCAAATTATATCGATGTAAGTACAGTATGATGTTGGTGTCTTGTGTACCTCGTTACTGGTTGGCTATTTGTAGTCTCAGTAAATGAAATTGGATTAATGCTGGATGATTACAGTTGTCTGATAACAAATTACCTGTCACTTAAAGATCCTTGTACCACTGCCAAAAGCTGTAACTGTGCTTTGGAAACTTTTTTCAAACAGGATTATAGCTTTGATAAATCATTTCTTAAAAGAAAACCATACCTTATGGGACTTATGTGAAAAAAATAAAAATAAAAATAAATAAGCAGTAACAAGTGTTCTGAGTGTAAAAAAAAATAGCTTGTCTAGACTGTGATTCCAACCCTGGACCTCAGATTGTTAGCTCACCTGGCCTGAATAACTAAAAGGCCCAGGATGTTGATATTTAGTCAGTAGCATACTAGGATGAAGGGCTACCAAGTTTGTTTAAATGCACGACCTTGAATCATATTCAAGGTCACAAGGAGCAAATATGTTCAAAATGTTTAAACAACTTGTTCTGAATAACCAAAAGGCCCAGGATGTTGATATTTAGTCAGTAGCATACTTGGATCAAGGACTACCATGTTTGTTAAAGTGAATGACCTTGACTTATATTCAAGGTCACAGGGGTCAAATTTGTTTTAAATCTTTAAACGACCTCTTCTGAATAACCATGGGTCCCGGAATGTTGATATTTTGCAAGTTGCATCCTGAGATGAAAGGCTATATAATTTGTTCAACATAATGACCTTGTTCGACTTTCAATAACAGGGGTGGAATGTTTTTAAAAAAAATAACAGGATCTTTTGAATGAATTTTATTCATAAATACTGATATTTTGCCTGTAGCTTTATTTTAGATCACTTTTAAGGTTACAAGTGTGAGATTTATACCAGGTGAGCAATGCAGGCCCATTGGGCCTCTTCTTTTACTATTGCTCTAACTGTATGAGCTGCCCGGTCAACAGAACTGTCCAGACACAACTGTGCTACAGTTATTCCAACATGAAATCAAAGGGAGGTTACTGTATACACGGGAACCCACAGGGCAGTGGGACAGGGATCCTTAATGAGATATTATTTGACCTTAAAAAAAAAACATTTCGTTAAGTCATTTTAATCACTATAAGAATGAAATGTGCTAAAATAAGAATACTACTAAAAAACTCTTACAGTATGTGTTAGAGTTTTTTAGTAGTATTCTTATTTTAGCACATTTCATTCTTATAGTATTGTGCTGAATTTTGATTGCAGTAAATATGAGTGTGTAAATTCATCTATATAATGCAAGAATTTGTTAAAATTTGATAATGTACTAAAATATGAGTGCACTAAAATCAGTACAATATGTAGTCTTGTAAAATTTTGAGTTGTCATTGTATGTAATGTGATCATTCAGTACAAGTTCTAAATGTAAATATATCTGCAAGACACTTGAAATCTTTTTACTTAGCAAATGTTATAAATGTATCTCCACTGATTTTTGATTAAAATAAGTCAGTTTCTTGAAATTAGAATATTTTGACATTTTTTCTTTCTTTTCTTTACAAAGGGATATACCAAGGCAAATGCCTATATAGCATCACAGGGTAAGTAGTTCATTGTTCTAAATTTGTAACGTTTTACATTCTTACCTTTTAATTGGACTGTGTTCTTAATTCTGTTTATGGAAAAAAATGAATTTCTGTCATGCATGATCTCATAAAATTTCTGAAAATATTTTTTTTCATATTGGAGTTGAAATTCATTGTACATGTATTAAAATCATTGAGATTGAGTGGAATTTCAACATGTGAAGTCTTCTTTAAAAACAGGGGCAACAAAAGTGATGATACGAGACTTTTGGAGAATGGTTTGGCAGAAGAAGACTTGTAAAATTGTCATGCTTACAAATGTCATGGAAGCATGCAAGGTTAGTAAAGTTGACACATGGTTGTAAAGTCATACATGTATGTGATTTGATATTAACCGTTTCAGACATATTCCAAAATGTTTTCCGTACTCCATGATATTGGTGGTATTTTCAATACTTCAACTTTACACATTTTATCTTTAATATTTGTACACATTTCATCTCTGATATTATTTCCTTACGCTTGTTCGTCCAGATAATCGTACCTCGTTTTTAGCTCACCTGGTCCGAAGGACCATGGTGAGCTTATGCCATACCGCGGCGTCCGGTGTCTGGCGTCCGTCCGTCCGTCAACTTTTCCTTTAAAACGTTTCTAGTCCTGAACGGCCAAGTAGATATTGACTAAATTTGGTCTGGTCCAATAGGGGAAATAGAGGTAAAACCTTTAAAATCCTTCTTCTACTGTAGGGATTAAGGGATGTTATTCTAATTTAGTCTGGAGCATCCTTGGGCCAAGGGGACTCAATTTTGTATAAATGGTGGGTGTGGCCCCCCTTGGGGCTGAGAGGTGGGGCCCAATAGGGGAAATATAGCACATTCTTTAAAATCCTTCTTCTTCTGTAGGAATGCCAGGATTTGTTCCATATTTTGTCTGAAGCATCCTTGGGTGAAGGGGAACCAATTTTGTATAAACCGTGGTTCTGGCCCACCAGGGGCCTGAGGGGTGTGANCTGAATAACTAAAAGGCCCAGGATGTTGATATTTAGTCAGTAGCATACTAGGATGAAGGGCTACCAAGTTTGTTTAAATGCACGACCTTGAATCATATTCAAGGTCACAAGGAGCAAATATGTTCAAAATGTTTAAACAACTTGTTCTGAATAACCAAAAGGCCCAGGATGTTGATATTTAGTCAGTAGCATACTGGGATCAAGGACTACCATGTTTGTTAAAGTGAATGACCTTGACTTATATTCAAGGTCACAGGGGTCAAATTTGTTTTAAATCTTTAAACGACCTCTTCTGAATAACCATGGGTCCCGGAATGTTGATATTTTGCAAGTTGCATCCTGAGATGAAAGGCTATATAATTTGTTCAACATAATGACCTTGTTCGACTTTCAATAACAGGGGTGGAATGTTTTTAAAAAAAATAACAGGATCTTTTGAATGAATTTTATTCATAAATACTGATATTTTGCCTGTAGCTTTATTTTAGATCACTTTTAAGGTTACAAGTGTGAGATTTATACCAGGTGAGCAATGCAGGCCCATTGGGCCTCTTCTTTTACTATTGCTCTAACTGTATGAGCTGCCCGGTCAACAGAACTGTCCAGACACAACTGTGCTACAGTTATTCCAACATGAAATCAAAGGGAGGTTACTGTATACACGGGAACCCACAGGGCAGTGGGACAGGGATCCTTAATGAGATATTATTTGACCTTAAAAAAAAAACATTTCGTTAAGTCATTTTAATCACTATAAGAATGAAATGTGCTAAAATAAGAATACTACTAAAAAACTCTTACAGTATGTGTTAGAGTTTTTTAGTAGTATTCTTATTTTAGCACATTTCATTCTTATAGTATTGTGCTGAATTTTGATTGCAGTAAATATGAGTGTGTAAATTCATCTATATAATGCAAGAATTTGTTAAAATTTGATAATGTACTAAAATATGAGTGCACTAAAATCAGTACAATATGTAGTCTTGTAAAATTTTGAGTTGTCATTGTATGTAATGTGATCATTCAGTACAAGTTCTAAATGTAAATATATCTGCAAGACACTTGAAATCTTTTTACTTAGCAAATGTTATAAATGTATCTCCACTGATTTTTGATTAAAATAAGTCAGTTTCTTGAAATTAGAATATTTTGACATTTTTTCTTTCTTTTCTTTACAAAGGGATATACCAAGGCAAATGCCTATATAGCATCACAGGGTAAGTAGTTCATTGTTCTAGATTTGTAACGTTTTACATTCTTACCTTTTAATTGGACTGTGTTCTTAATTCTGTTTATGGAAAAAAATGAATTTCTGTCATGCATGATCTCATAAAATTTCTGAAAATATTTTTTTTCATATTGGAGTTGAAATTCATTGTACATGTATTAAAATCATTGAGATTGAGTGGAATTTCAACATGTGAAGTCTTCTTTAAAAACAGGGGCAACAAAAGTGATGATACGAGACTTTTGGAGAATGGTTTGGCAGAAGAAGACTTGTAAAATTGTCATGCTTACAAATGTCATGGAAGCATGCAAGGTTAGTAAAGTTGACACATGGTTGTAAAGTCATACATGTATGTGATTTGATATTAACCGTTTCAGACATATTCCAAAATGTTTTCCGTACTCCATGATATTGGTGGTATTTTCAATACTTCAACTTTACACATTTTATCTTTAATATTTGTACACATTTCATCTCTGATATTATTTCCTTACGCTTGTTCGTCCAGATAATCGTACCTCGTTTTTAGCTCACCTGGTCCGAAGGACCATGGTGAGCTTATGCCATACCGCAGCGTCCGGCGTCCGGCGTCCGGCGTCTGGCGTCCGTCCGTCCGTCCGTCCATCAACTTTTCCTTTAAAACGTTTCTAGTCCTGAACGGCCAAGTAGATATTGACTAAATTTGGTCTGGCCCAATAGGGGAAATAGAGGTAAAACCTTTAAAATCCTTCTTCTACTGTAGGGATTAAGGGATGTTATTCTAATTTAGTCTGGAGCATCCTTGGGCCAAGGGGACTCAATTTTGTATAAATGGTGGGTGTGGCCCCCCTTGGGGCTGAGAGGTGGGGCCCAATAGGGGAAATATAGCACATTCTTTAAAATCCTTCTTCTTCTGTAGGAATGCCAGGATTTGTTCCATATTTTGTCTGAAGCATCCTTGGATGAAGGGGAACCAATTTTGTATAAACCGTGGTTCTGGCCCACCAGGGGCCTGAGGGGTGTGACCCAATAGGGGAAACATGGCAAATTATTCTTTAAAATCTCTCTTCTTCTGTAGGAATGAAAGGATTTGGTCCATATTTGATGTGGAGCATCCTTGGGTAAAGGGGAACTAATTTTATATAAACAGTGGGTGGGGCACCCCTGGGACCTGAGGGGCGGGGGCCCAATAGGGGAAATAGAAGTAAAACCTTTATAATCCTTCTTCTACCATATAGATCAAGGGACTTTATCCTAATTTAGTTTTGAGCATCCTTGGACAAAAGGGACTCAATTTCGTATAAACAGCGAGTGTGGCCCCCCTGGGGACAGAAGGGAGGGGCCCACTAGGGGAAACAGCAAATTCTTCAAATACCTTCTTCTTCTGTACGAATGACAGGATTTTGTCCAAATTTGGTATGAAGCATCATTGGGTGAAGGGGAACCAATTCTGTATAAACGGTGTGTCTAACCCCCCTGGAGGCAGATAGTCGGGGCCCAATAGGGGAAATAGAGGTAAAACCTTTAAAATCGTTCTTCTACCATAAGGATTAAGGAATTTTATCCTAATTTAGTCTGGAGCATCCTTGGGCCAAGGGGACTCAATTTTGTATAATCAGTGGGTGTGGTCTCCCAGGGGACAGAAGGGTGGGGCCCAATAGGAGAAATAGAGGTAAAACCTTTAAAATCCTTCTTCGACCATCGAGATTAAGGAATTTTATCCATATTTAGTCTGGAGAAGCCTTGGAACAAGGGGTTTCAATTTTGTATAACTGGTGGGTATGACCCCCCTAGGGGCATAGGGGTGGGGCTCTGTTTGAGGTTTGTTCTCGCTATATCTCAAGTACTGGATGGATCTTTCTGAAATTTCGTATGTACTACCATGGAGTGCTATATCTTTACTTCATACCAATTATTTTAAACATATTCAGGTGAGCAATACAGGTCCTCTGGGCCTCTTGTTAGAGTTTGTGGTGATCAGGATTACATTATAAATTGCAAATTCAACAGTATTGCTAATGAGTGGTCAAATGAGACTTCTTTTCCCTAGGGTTATATTTAATACCATGTTTTGTTTTTCTGCAGAAAAAGTGTGACCAGTACTGGCCTGACAGTGGCAGTATGAAGTATGGTAGTATTAATGTGGAGATCCTGGACACGGCAGTGTTTACTGACTTTACAATCCGCACCTTCAACATCTCGCTGGTAAGTGTCTGCATGTCAGACTGGTAGACTTACCAATAGGCGGTATTCCATTGTTAGGACTACTGGGTATGTGTCTGATCTATGTCACAGTATTTCTCGTTTAAACTTGTCGTTGAATGGCTAGAATAGAAGCCCATAAGGCTGTTTAAGGGCGTTTGACATCCAGGTGTTGTCCGGTTCAAATGATACCTAGCTAGTGCACTGTTAGAACAGATAAGATTAGTGGTTGACCCTAATCGAAGTTCTGGGAATCTGAGTAGAGTAAGGGGGGTAATGCACAAAAATGTTTCCTCAAAACAATGTGACAATTAATTATATTTCTCTGAACTTATGTTCAAATTAAAGATATACTATTTCCTTTTCCAAAACTTACATTCAAATTAAAGATGTAGATTTTCTTTCGTCAAAACAATTTGATTTCATATATATAAATCGGACAGGGAGATGTTTTATGTCTTTTTGTTTAAGGATTTTTTTTATAAATGTATAAGTAGAAGTATAATGATGATACAAACAAATGTTCTGTCGATCTTAAAACAAACTTGTGGTTAATATTTGTATATTTACAAAATTCCAAGAAGAAAAAAAGAACATTTTTTAGTAGTTTTCTCTCTATCGGTGCTTACCCAGTTAGACCCCTATTTGGACCAAAAATCAACCTTAGCCATCGACAATATGAGCAAGGATTCATCAAGGGGGCTCAAAAACAGCTTGATAGACATCTGTCCTTTAAGGAAAGCATACAGAAGCAAGCATCTACAATACTGAAATGCATGGTGCAAATCTTTTTATGTTTGTTTTTAATAGAAAAACTTCGCTGTGGAATAGCATCAAACAAAGTTCTTTTGTTTAACATTGAAGTTGATAAATGTGCATGAGCATCTCTGGAAACTGTAGTGTAGACTTGCAATCTTGGAAGAATCCCTAAAAGGTCAGGAGCATGTGTACATCAACACAGCGTGATTGGGGGAGTCGTATAAAAAAATCCTCATGTCAGAGGTTGTGTTGGTATTAAATTTGATAAAGAGTTATAGAATAAATGTATTATGGTTATAAGAACAGTCTGGCAACCCACTCCCGTCTCAACAACTTGCCTGTAACTTCCAGCCTTGATATACTCATTTGTGCTGGGAGACAAAGCTAAAATTCAGCTGGTCAGATGTTTCAGTAAGCCTGCTTAACATAGCAATAGATAGTCGATATTATCTTATATTTGGAAGAGCTTCTGGACAACGACGATCCACCTTTGCATGTCTTCTTTTTCCCAAACCATGCTTCACATAATATTTGATTAGATGACACAATAGAATTAACTAGGAAATGATGCTAGATATATTTCTTGACACCTTGAGCTTGAAGTTCATTCAATATCTTTATAAAGTCTTTCTTGTTGCTTGAAGTTCATTTACTATCTTTATGAAGACTATTTTGTTGTGCATGCCATGCCTTGTATTTAGATGTGTTCAACCCTTGTCTTTTTGAAGAACGAGTCTAGTCGGACTGTGAAACAGTTTCACTTCACATCCTGGTCTGATCATGGCGCACTGACCTATCCAACACCACTGCTCACATTCAAGCGTAAGGTTGAAACGTACACCCCAGAGAGTACGGCTCCAATCATTGTACACTGCAGGTAACGAATCCTTAGTACTTACATCAATTATGTAGTGAAAAGATATTTAGCATGTTGCATTTTTGCTATATATATATGAATACTTTTAATATCTCACCTGGAATAAAGTGCCTTTCGGTTTATGAGATGGAAGTCATATATCTTTAATAATTAAAAAATAACTTCTTCTGAATTAACCCAGTCTTTTGCTCACCTTAAAAGCGGGTCAATGTTATTCATTTGAACCATTTTGATAGCCCTTCAGTCCAACAGGCTTCAGGCTAAATATCTTTACCCAAGTTCTCCCATTGTAACAAAAGGCTATCAGCTGCATTCAAATGAAATAAGGATCAAGTGTTTATTTTAATCTTCAAAACATTTTCTATAAAGATTTATGAGGTTTCGAGTAATGATATTTGACCTGTATCTTGCTTGTGTGAATGGCTATTATGTTGTAAGTTGACATGGACCGACTTTCTCAGTCAAGGGAGTCAAATGTATGATAAACTTCACAGTGTTTCTCTTAGGTCCTCGAGTCCTAGAGTAGTAGTATTTAGCCTGTAGCTTGCTGGGGTAAAACACTATCAAGTTTGTAAATGCAAAGAAGCATGACAAACTGTGAAGATGCATGAGTAATTTAAATCTTCCAACAAAGATCGCTCCATAAGTTATAATGATACCTATTTCGCTAATTTGCCTACAACATTGAAGAACAGATGAACGATAAAGACCAATTGGGCCTCTTGTCTTATGCATGCAGACAGAATATTTCTATGTACAGTACTTGAGTACACCCTCAATTTGTTATCCAGTTCAGTGAAATCACTCCAGAAACCGGCACTTTCGGTTTCAAATTTTTATCAACCTTTCTAAAACGATTGAATATGAAATGAGTTTGTGTTTCATGGCCAATGCAGAAATTTGTTCAGTACTGTGTTGTGTTACAGTGCCGGTATCAGGTATTCGCTATTAAGAGATTAAGAGTATCTGTGTTGTGTTACAGTGCGGGTATCAGGTATTCACTATTAAGAGATTAAGAGTATCTGTGTTGTGTTACAGTGCAGGTATCTGGTATTCACTATTAAGAGATTAAGAGTATCTGTGTTGTGTTACAGTGCAGGTATCAGGTATTCACTATTAAGAGATTAAGAGTATCTGTGTTGTGTTACAGTGCAGGTATCAGGTATTCACTATTAAGAGATTAAGAGTATCTGTGTTGTGTTACAGTGCAGGTATCAGGTATTCACTATTAAGAGATTAAGAGTATCTGTGTTGTGTTACAGTGCAGGTATCAGGTATTCACTATTAAGAGATTAAGAGTATCTGTGTTGTGTTACAGTGCAGGTATCAGGTATTCACTATTAAGAGATTAAGAGTATCTGTGTTGTGTTACAGTGCAGGTATCAGGTATTCACTATTAAGAGATTAAGAGTATCTGTGTTGTGTTACAGTGCAGGTATCAGGTATTCACTATTAAGAGATTAAGAGTATCTGTGTTGTGTTACAGTGCAGGTATCAGGTATTCACTATTAAGAGATTAAGAGTATCTGTGTTGTGTTACAGTGCAGGTATCAGGTATTCACTATTAAGAGATTAAGAGTATCTGTGTTGTGTTACAGTGCAGGTATCAGGTATTCACTATTAAGAGTATCTGTGTTGTGTTACAGTGCAGGTATCTGGTATTCACTATTAAGAGATTAAGAGTATCTGTGTTGTGTTACAGTGCAGGTATCAGGTATTCACTATTAAGAGATTAAGAGTATCTGTGTTGTGTTACAGTGCAGGTATCAGGTATTCACTATTAAGAGATTAAGAGTATCTGTGTTGTGTTACAGTGCAGGTATCAGGTATTCACTATTAAGAGATTAAGAGTATCTGTGTTGTGTTACAGTGCAGGTATCAGGTATTCACTATTAAGAGATTAAGAGTATCTGTGTTGTGTTACAGTGCAGGTATCAGGTATTCACTATTAAGAGATTAAGAGTATCTGTGTTGTGTTACAGTGCAGGTATCAGGTATTCACTATTAAGAGATTAAGAGTATCTGTGTTGTGTTACAGTGCAGGTATCAGGTATTCACTATTAAGAGATTAAGAGTATCTGTGTTGTGTTACAGTGCAGGTATCAGGTATTCACTATTAAGAGATTAAGAGTATCTGTGTTGTGTTACAGTGCAGGTATCAGGTATTCACTATTAAGAGATTAAGAGTATCTGTGTTGTGTTACAGTGCAGGTATCAGGTATTCACTATTAAGAGATTAAGAGTATCTGTGTTGTGTTACAGTGCAGGTATCAGGTATTCACTATTAAGAGATTAAGAGTATCTGTGTTGTGTTACAGTGCAGGTATCAGGTATTCACTATTAAGAGATTAAGAGTATCTGTGTTGTGTTACAGTGCAGGTATCAGGTATTCACTATTAAGAGATTAAGAGTATCTGTGTTGTGTTACAGTGCAGGTATCAGGTATTCACTATTAAGAGATTAAGAGTATCTGTGTTGTGTTACAGTGCAGGTATCAGGTATTCACTATTAAGAGATTAAGAGTATCTGTGTTGTGTTACAGTGCAGGTATCAGGTATTCACTAATAAGAGATTAAGAGTATCTGTGTTGTGTTACAGTGCGGGTATCTGGTATTCACTATTAAGAGTATCTGTGTTGTGTTACAGTGCGGTATCAGGTATTCATTATTAAGAGATTAAGAGTATCTGTGTTGTGTTACAGTGCGGGTATCGGGTATTCACTATTAAGAGTATCTGTGTTGTGTTACAGTGCGGGTATCTGGTATTCATTATTAAGAGATTAAGAGTATATGTGTTGTGTTACAGTGCGGGTATCGGACGGTCAGGGACCTACATTGCCCTGGACTACCTGATGTACCAGGCCAAGGCGGAGGGAGTGGTAGATGTGCTGAGAAGCGCCCAGCTCATGAGGTGTAACCGGATAAACATGATCCAGACCTGGGTATGTCACACCCTCAGTTTAAAATCTCTTATTACAGGACTAAGTTTGCTACAAACGTCTCTAATACAGACCTGGGTGGATCACAAATATCAACACTTAATGAAGAAGTATAATCGTTATACTGTCCTCGAAATCTGATTCAAACAAGATCTTTCACTGCATATATTCCTCTGTGATAAATTCTTGATTTAAACTCACCCTTCTCTGATACATTACCTTGTGGGATCTAACTGTGTTACAGTGTAGGATATGGCACCAGGACATCAGGGCTCACATTCCTGTGCCTTTCTGTCTCTAACCAATCAGCGTGATGACCTCTAAGCTCAGTATTGGATAGCATACCTAAAGCATACAGATAATGAATGAAAGTCTAGTAGAAAATGACCCCCCATGTAATATTATATGATCCTGCACCTGAGATTAAAATGAATGATTTGTTTTAAATAAGATTGCAGACCTAGGTATGCCTGACACCCACATTATAATCCTCCTTGTTACTATAGTGGAACTGGACTGGGTCCATCGTCGGCGACCAGGTAGCTCAATTGGTAGAGCATCCGTCTAGAGTTCAGAGGGTCCCGGGTTCGAACCTCGGTCTGGCTGTTACATTTTCTCTATATCCTGTTACATTACATATATCCTAATTCTTGTTTCATCATATATATAATTATGATGATGTAGAAATCAGAAATTTATTAATACCATGCTCTACATACAAAATAGAAATATGTTGTCCTCTTTAAATAAGAAAACAATGACAACAAAATATTGAAATTTATTGAATGTTCTGTTTGATTTTAACCAACAGGAGCAGTATGTGTTTGTATACGAGGCTCTGTTAGAAGCCCTCAAGGCTGGAGAGACCACCATTCCAAATGACCAGTTCAGACGGAGATATGAGGACATGTCTACTCTCAAGCCTGACCAACTTACTACAGCCCTGGATGATCAGTTCAAGGTTAGAGCTATAATATTTATCAATGTGTACAACGGTTAACTTATCAAATGGGCTGCGCTGGCTGAGTGATCAAGGTGTCTTACATTCTGCTTACACTAGCCCTCCACCACTGGGTTGTGGGTTTGAGGCCTACGTGGGGGCAGTTCCAGGTATTAGCGGCAGGTTGGTGGCTTTCCTCCACCACCAAAATCTGGCACATCCTTAAATAACCATAGCTGTTAAAAGGATGTTAAAAAACAAACAAACAAACAAACTTATCACATACTGGAACTACCTTGTGACCCAGTATGTCCTTATAGTATTCATGGGCTGTTATGATTACATGTGACAAGCCATGAAGATTATAAACAACTACATCGTATGTTGTCTATGGAGTATGTAACTTAAACTTACGGTCTGTGTTATTCAGTCTATATAAAAAGTCTGATGTATTTTTTAAAATGCATGTTTTGTGTGTGTTATCTAGGCATTACAAGAGGTCACCCATACCGTGGATACAGATGAATACAAAGCAGCCATGTTACCAGAAAACCTCGGTAAAAATAGAGTCAAGAATATTTTACCAGGTAATTATAATTATTTAAAAACAATACTGTATAACATGAAATATTCGCGGTGTATTAACTTTCGTGGTTTTCGTGGTTGCAATGGAACCACGAACCTAAATACCACAAATATTTCTACAATTCGAAAGAACATAAACAACGAAAATGTGAAAATGATATGACCTTTATTTCAATCAATCATGTGCACACAAAAGTATAAGCTGATACATTGTACATGTATGATTATGACCATGTAACAACAACGAAGGATACGTTTGCAAAAGAATTTATTATGTCGCGAGAACAGGTCAGTGTTTTCTTAGCATGATGTCAACACTCCCACCGCAGTTATATTTACTTTACCTGTGTGATGATTGTTTTAATCGTTTGACGTGAACAGAGGAGTTTGACAAGTGTGAATCTTTGCCGTTTTAAAACATACCGCAAATGTGTTACAGTGTTGGACCAATGATTCTCGAAATGACAGGTATATATTTCGATGTACGTGGCTAACAATGAAAACATTTCGTTGTATGGGCTAACCACGAAAGTTTGTACCTTCAAAATAAGTTGAAAGCTCCAAACCCCGAAAGAAATGACACACGGACATTTCATGTTATACAGTTGATTTTTCTCAACACTGTTCCATAGATAGGGTAAGAGTGGTATCATCTCGCTCTAAGATGTTTAGTAGTAGTAGTACATTCGTAGTAGTATAGCCTGATCACGTTAAGGGTATCAACATTTTAATTTGATACTTACAATCGTATTTTGGTATAAATATTAGAAAAAACAAAATCAGGAAATTCAAGCTGTAGGTTGCGAAGTGAGGGTAGACACCTTGTGTAGAACTCCATATCATAATCTATTTGTTGTATAAGACACCTGGTATAACATACTATTAATATCACTCAACTTTCCAAACATTATGTTAATGAATCATTTTCCCTTTTCAGCCAATCGATGTCGGCCACACCTGTACACTCAGGTAGAGGGATGTAACGACTACATCAATGCCATATTCTTATCAGTAAGTTGTGTACATCAATGCCATATTCTTATCAGTAAGTTGTGTACATCAAAAAGTAATTGTGAGGGGGAAGACATCACTTGAGATTGAAAGATACATTCTTAATATTTATAGTGGTATGAAATCACTCAATAACGTACATATTCCATAATGTACAACCCGTACATCTTGTAGTAAATGTATGTAAGCAACTTGGGCCCCTTTCCAGTGTCCAGTTGAACTTGTTTATCTGTATTGAAATGTAACATTTTCGGATATAAATCCTGGCAGACCTGCAAATGTTCACGCAGGCCATGCAAGGCTTTGTCAAGGCTTTGTCAAGGCTCGCCTGAAAGCAGCATCAGATTATTAGGTTCGACCTTATTCCGTAAACTAACAACTCCGGTCCAACCAGTTCAACCCTTTGAATTGCGATAAACGAGTGCGGCCTTGGTTTCATACCATCTTTGATGTTTAGGTGATACAAAGGAGGCCTTCTACAAAGCACAACTGCGTACTGTTTGACGGTTACTGTGCGTGAAGCTGCAAACATACAGCATGTAGTTGTGCTCTTGATAGGCCATAACGTGTCAGCACATTGGTTTTAGAGTGAAGATTATAGGTTTTACAGGATGCAGCAGTGATGTTGCTGATTCTTTCCATTTTGCATTGTTTTTATACGCCCGTCGAAGACGGGGACGTATTATGTTATCACGTGAGCGGGCGGGCAGGTGGGTGGGTGGGCGG